ACTTTTCATTAAAATCAGTCGAAAAGACAAGGAAGGTCATTACATAGTAATAAAGGGAATAGTCCATAGAGAAGGAATCATGGTGGTCAATATCTCTGCACCAGATAATGGAACATCTAAATACGTTAAACAAATACTTTTAGATTTACAGAACAGAATGGACCTAAACATAATAATAGTGGGAAATTTTAATACCCTGTTCTCTCCCAAGGGCAGGTCAACCAAACAAAAGATAAGCAAAGAAGTCTCTGAACTAAATGACCGAAATGGACTTAACAGACATCTAGGGAGTATTCCACCCAATAATGACCCAATTCACATTCTTCCCAGCAGCCCATGGAACATTCTCCAACACAGATCATTTCATAGTACACATAGAGAACCTTAGCAAATACAAGAAGTCAATATACATTCCTTGAATCCTATCTGACAACAGTGTAATCAAACAAGTTCTCAACAACAAAACATACTGCTGAAATCACTCAAACACATTGGGGCTGAATAACAACTGAGCAGAAATTAAGGAAGAAATTAGAAAGTTCTTACCATTTAATGAAAATGAAAACACTTCACAGTGGAACCTGTGGGACACACAGAAAAAGCAGTGATGAGGGGAAACTTTATAGCTCTAAGCACACACATAAAGAAAACAGAACCCGTTCAAGTAAATAACCTCATGTTGCAATTAAAGCTACTAGAAAACAAGAAAACAAATCAAATCTAAAACTATTAGACAGAAAGAGATAGCAAAGATTACAGCAAAAATCAACAAAATAGAAACAAAAAATTATACATAAAATCACTGAAACAAAGATCTGGATTAAAAAAATTGACAGACCATTTGTGAGATGAATGAAAAAAAGAGGAGAGAAAATTCAAAATCAATAAGGTCAGAGATGCCACAAGAAACATTGCAAAAAACATCCAAGAAATCCAAATGGTCATAAAGGACTACATTTCTTTTTAATTTGTCAGGCATGGGGCTTGAACTCTGGGCCTGGGCGCTGTCCCTCAGCTCTTCTGCTCAAGGTGAGTGCTCTACCACTTGAGCTACAGCACCACTTCTGGTTTTCTGGTGGTTAATTGGAGATGAGAGTCTCACGGACTTTCCTGCCTGGGTTGGCTTTGAACTGTGATCCTCAGATCTCAGCCTCCTGAGTAGCTAAGATTACAGGCATGAGCCACTGGTGCTTGGCTAAGACTACTTTCAAAGCGTATATTCACCAAAGAAGGACAACCTAGCAGAAACAGACAAATTTTTAGAAACATACAAACTGCCTAAACTGACCCAAGAAGATATAAACCAGCTAAACCAACCAATAACACACAACTAGATAGAGGAAATAATTGGAAGCCTTCCAACAAGGAAAAGCCCAGGCCTGGATAGATTCAGCACAGAATCTTATGAGGTTTTTTTTTTTCAGGCAGGAAGAGAAGTTTATTGTTTTACCACACTGCAGCCCCCACCATGCATGGTGGAGAGGCATGGCCGAAAAAGGGTGGGCTGAGGTCTGACCTGGGTTTAAGTACGGAAGGGGAAGAGGATAAGGTGTGGCCAGGTGAGGGAAGGTGTGGCCACACTGGATGCTGATGTGAACTCAGGGCCTGTGACCCTCTTCTGGTTGGATGGTAGGCGTGACGGGGGGGGGGCAGCCCAGGATGTGACTTCAGAAAAGGGGGAGGTAACTGCCTGTAGGTGTGCCAGTTACCTATGTGACACAGGTGCTGGGCGGAGACCTTACACTCCAGCCGTTTAATAATTAAGAAAAGGATATAGATTCTCTCTGGCTACTTCCTGCCAGCAAGGAGCATCCACATTAGAGGTAAAAGGCGGAGATGTGGTCCCTTCCAGGAGAAGGCAGCAGGCAGCCGCTGTTCCTTGAATGAAGTCTTGAAGAAATCTCAGGAGGCAGGGGCTGGGAAACAACAACAACAACAATGGTATTAGAGAGCACACAAACAACACCAACGGCAAGCATGTAAGTTCTTGTGCAGTTAGGTGGTAGACAGGTATGGACATTAGATGGGCAAGCTTCTTATTTCTATGGGCCTCCCAGCTCTAGTTAATTTTGAATGGGCAGGCACAAAGTGGCTGATGTGACATCATCTCTTACTCCTCTCTGTAGTCCCTTGTTTCCCAGACTGGATGAATCCCAGGGGTCTTGGTGCTTGTTGCTGGGATAGCTTGTCCCAGTTGGCATTCACAGGCTTTGAACTCAAGGTCTGGGCACTGTCCCTAAGCTCTACCACTTTGGGTCACAGTGCCATTTCCAGCGTCTGGCTGGTTAAGTAGAGATAAGAGTCCCTTGAGCCATGCTTCAAGCCTGGCTCTTTGCTGGTTAGTTGGGAGATGGAGTCTCAGAGGAATTTTTCTGCCTGGGCTGGCCTTGAACTGCAGTCCTCAGATCCAATGAGTCTTTGCCACAAAACTCCTTTTTATTCCCAATTAAAGCAACAAGGAGACCAACAGAAATAATGAGCAGAGTTTACTGTAACTTGATAAGCATTGACCAACCCATACTCGTCACAGTTAATTTCGGTCAGTCTGGCTAGATACTGCAAGGAGGAAAATCTGCAACAAAACTCAGTGGACATAATGAAAGTTTTAACTTACATTGAGACCAAATTAAATGATCTCCAGTCCAAAGAGAAGGGAGGGAAGCGGGCGGGGGGCGGGGGAAGGGGGAGATTTCTTTCTTCAGATTTTTATAGTTTTCGCTATAAAGATCTTTTAAGTCTTTGGTTAGGTTAATTCCTAGGTATTTTGCCTTTTTTGAGGCTATTGCAAATGGGGTTATTTTCATTATTTCCTTTTCTGATTACACATTGTTGGCATATAGAAAGGCTACTGATTTTTGTGGGTTAATTTTGTATCCTACTACTTTGCCAAAGTGGTAGATCAGCTCTAGGAGTTCATGGGTGATTGAAAGATCAAACCTAGAATGACTAGCCTTTGAGAGGGAATCTAGAAGGGGGTCCCCGGAACCCAGCCTGCATTGAGCTCTTGTGCGCACAAGCCAAAAGGTTGGAGAAAATAAGAGGGAAAGAACAGAGAAGAACCTGAAAGTAAATAGACTTGTGCCCATTATAATTGGAGTGGCAAATCTGTATCTCTGAGAATATTTTGATGAAGCCTCATTGCAATTGTAAGAGGCATTCCAACTGTGTCTTGGTGTGTTTCTGTGGCATTCTTACCTCTTTTTCTGAGTAGTCTCTCAATGTCAGACCGAAACTCTAAAACCATTGTGTGAGAGAGTAGGAGAAACATTAGAACTTGTAGATATAGGCAGGAACTTCTTGAATACAGTCCCAGTGGCACAACAGATAGGAGAGAAACTCGACAAGTGAGAATACATTAAAATAAAAAGTTTCTACACAGTTAAGGACATAGTTACTAAACTAGAAAGGCAGCCAGCAAATTGGGAAAAACTTCACCAGCAAAAGTCCTGATATTCATATATATGTAAAAAAATATATATATATACATACATACATATATTATATATATATATATAGAGAGAGAGAGAGAGAGAGAGAGAGCTCAAGACACTAACCCTTCCTAATCTTGATACACCAGTTACTAAATGGGCAAGGATGCTAAGGAGAGACTTCTCAGAAAAAGAGGTAAGAATGCCACAGAAACACATGAGGAAAAGCTCATCATCCTTGGCTATAAAGGAAATGCAAATCAAAATAATCCTGGGATTCCATGTTACCCCAGTTAGATTGGCCAACATTTTTAATTCAAACAACAACACATGCTGGCTGGGAGGGAAAAGAAGCTCTACTGCACTGTTGGTGGAATGTAAACTGGTACAACCACACCAGAGTTCCTCAAAAAAAACCCAAAACATAGACCTTCCCTAAGACCCAGCCATACCACTCTTGGGCATCTACCCCGAGCATCATGAGCCAGGATATGATAGGGGTACCTGCACATCCATGTTCCTTGCCACACTATTCACAATAGCCAAGATAGGAAACAACCCAGATGCCCCACAATAGATGAGTGGATCCCAAAACTGTGTTACGTACATACAATGGAATTTTACACAGCCATTAGAAAGAATAAAATAATGTTATTTGCAGGGAAATGGATGGAACTAGAACAAATCATGTGAAGAACATAAACCAAGATGAGAGACACAAAACGGCACAGCTTCTCCCTGATATGAGGAAGTTAGATCTAAAACTCACTGGGAGATGACAAATTACACAGGATCCTAGATACTCACATACAGTGAGACCAGTAGAGGATGGTCTTAGGAAAGAATCACAAAGGGGTAATCCCTAAGCACCTCTTCATATGTATATAAAATAACAGGCATCCTGAAATGAATTCCAAAGATATGGAAACAAATTACTTTTTTCTTTTTCTGATGATTCTGTATTCTTTACCTAACATATGGTGTATTCATGTACATATCTGTGGGAGGGTGAGGGGAGAGCACAAAATCCAAGGAAAAAGGGTAAAAAGTGTAGAAGTGGAACTCACTGGACACCGATCAAAGTGAACTATGCAACTCGTGGGTGGAGATGGGAGGGACTGGGAGAGAGTGAGGGAACAGAAGACACTGTACGATGTAACCCCTCTGTATGTCACCTCTATAATAACAATAAAGTAAATAAATAAGAGAATATATTGCAGAAGAGCTGTTGATGTAGCTCAGTGAGAGAGTATTTGTCCACCATGTGTAATGTCCTAGATTTACTCTTCAGTCCCCAAGACAGAGACAAAGGGAGCGGGGAAGGAGGATGAGCAGGAAGAGAAGGAGGAAAGTAAGGAAAGAAGGAAAGAAAGGAAGGAAGTAAAGAAGGAAGGAAGGAAAGAAGGAAGGAAAGAAGATAGGGAGGGAGGGAGGAAAGAAAATGGGGAGGAGGAGGAGGGAATAAGAAGAATAAAGGAGATGATACAAGAGGAGAGAGAAGGAGAGAATATGTAAGTATTATTTTGTTTGGGGAGAAAATATTTAATTGAAAACTTACCTTTTTACTTGTAGGATATGGGGATGTCAGGGATGATTCTAATCCGGAGGATGCTCGGAAAAAAAATTCTCCACTGAAGCGTGAGTACCAAATTAAATAAATTATTGAAAGCAATTGATACTGATTAATATGGACTACTCATTCATAATCTATCTTCAAGAAAAGAACAGGTAGCCTAGATTTCATTTGATCATATGAAGTTGGTTTTCATAAATTCTGTTTAAAAGAAAATAAGGCAGGGTACTGCGGACTCATGTCTGTAATCTTAACTACTCATGAGTCTGAGATCTGAGGATCTTGGTTCAAAGCCAGACCCGCTAGGAAAGCCTGTGAGATTGTTACCTCCAGTGAACTACATAAAAACAGGAGATAGAGCTGTGTGTCTAAGTGGTAGAGCGCTAGCCTTGAGCAAAAAAAAAAAAAAGTTCAGGGTCAGTACCCCGGCCCCAGGACCTCCAAAAGAAAATAAGACTATGTAAGGTATTTGTTGAAAATATGTACCAATTTTCCCAAGAGAGTACCACTCTCAGTCAGTATGGAGTATGTTGATCTCAATTACTTTTCTTTAGGGTTTTTTCATATACTCATACATGTGTTATTTTATAACTTTTTCATTTAAAGTATATTGAAGGCCTGAGAGAACATATCTATTTTTAATAGATTTTTTTTCCAGCTGCCATGATGAAGACTATACACTGCATGGCTTAAAAGAATATAACTATCCTGTCAAAGTTCTGGAAAATAGACATTCTAAGTCCATTTGTCAACAAATCCCCACTCCCTCAAAAGGCTCTAGGAAAACAATGCTTCCCTGAGTTGCCCTACTGCTGGTGGTCCCTTACATTCCTTGGCTTGTGGCTACATCACCCGCTCCTTCACAAAATGCTACCCTTTCTGTGTCCTTTGGCTCTCATGAGAACACTTGTTACTGTTCAGGCCCCTCTGTATAATCTGATATGATCTTATCTTGATGGCCTCCTCTTAATTACATCTTTTTTCCAAATAAATAAATAAATATATATGTAAAATAGATAACGCACATACCAACACATATATAACCAATATCCCTTATCGTTCTCAACTGCTAATTAGTGTACATTAAGCAGAGGTCTGAGTGCCAGCTGTGTGTCATTATTGTTTCAAGTACTGAGGAGATACAGCATAGCAAATGGTGCCTCATGGAACCAGGATTCCAATGATGTGGATTTGGCCATGACTTATCTGCCAATTTCCTACTGGCAGATTTATGATTTGTTGGCTTTATGTATAATTCAAAGTAAAGCTACATTGAATATGTTTGACCATATTCTTTGTGCCTAAGTGAGATGAAGCTGCCAGCCAGAAAGTATATCCATCCTACCAATTTCTGTCAAATTGTATTCCACAGTAGGTGGGATATTGTATACTTTCACTGATGCTGTCATAGTTGTACCTGTGTTCCCACATCTTCAACAGGAGCAGAGTTTACTAGTCAAAAGTATGTTCCCTATATGACAAACAGATTACATCGTTGATTATTATTCATCGTCCTGATTATGGCATTTTATACAAGTATTGGCCAATTGCATTTTCTACTTTCGTGAATTGTCTGTGTATATGCTTCCCCATTTCTCAGCTGGTAGTTCTTGTCTTTTAAATTGGTTTACAAGACCTTTGTATATATGGGTTGAGAAATTGAGGGGTTCTAAAGTCAGACTTACTGGGTGTCTGAACCCTCGATCTATCACTTAGTCAACTGTCACTTTGAGTAAGTCACCTTTCTTTGAAACATGTTTCATCATCTGTTATATAAAAACAAGAAGTCCTATGTTGTAGGAATATTATAGTGATTATATAAGTGGCTATGTGAAACACCTAGCACAGTACTTGGAACAAGGTGAGTACTTTGAATAAGGTGATTAGAGGAACAGGCTGTATGTGGGCATGCTTTAGGAATTGCCCCATTTGACTGACAGACTCAAAATAAACACTGCTAAAATTCCAGATGGATGTTTCATTGAAATGGACAAGCAGATTTTATTATTCTTTTTTGGGGGGGAGGGGAGGTTGGTCATGTGTCTTGTACTCAGGGCCTGGGCACTGTCCCTGAACTCTTTTGCTCAAGGTTAGCATTCTACCACTTTGAGCCACAGCACCACTTCCGGTTTTCTGGTGGCTCATTGGAGGTAAGAGTCATGGTCTTTCCTGCTGGGGCTGGCTTTGAACCACGATCCTCAGATCTTAGTCCCCTCAGTAGCTAGGATTATAGGCATGAGCCACCAGTGCCTGGCTAGATTTTAAAATTCTTACAGAGTATTGGTTAACTGTCTTATCACTGTGACCAAATATCAAACATTAGCAAAAACTTGCGAGGATGATTTCTCTTGCTCAGGTCTCAAAAGTACTCAATCCCCAGTTAGTTGACCTTACGATGCAATGAGAGAATGGAGGCTAGGGCATGTCTTCATCTCATGAAAGCACGACCTTGTGATTCACTGTTGATTGTCTGCATGACTGTGCAGAAGCTTTTGTGAAACAATTTATTGTTTCACTTCGGTTGACTGTGTTGGTTTTTTTTTTTTGGGGAGGGGGGTTGTTATACTTCCAAAATTCTTTGCCTAGAACAATGTCGAGAAGCTTTCCTTATATTTGCTTCTGGTAATTTTACAATTTCAAATCTTATGTTTGAAGCTCTTAGTTTTTTTCTTAGTTGATTGTACTTGGTATGAGCTAAAGGTCCAATTTCATTCTTTTGTATGTGGATATTTAGTGTTCTCAACATCATTTATGAAGAAATTGTCCTCCCCCAAGTGTATGTTCATGGCTCCTTAGTCTAAGATCAACTGACCGTAGGTGTGTGGACTTATGTCTGGGGTTTCTATTTTTTTTTAAACTGATTTGTATGTTAATGCCAGTACCATGCTGTTTTGATGACTGTCGATTTGTAGTATATTTTGAAATCAGGTCCTATGATGGTTCTAACTTGATTCTTTTCTCCTGATTGCTTTGGATGTTGAGATTTTTGTGGTTAGATATGAATTTCAGTTTTATGGAACTCTTTAGAGATCATGTAAGGGCCTCAAGCACCAAGACAGTAGTACTCTATTTATGGAATGACTTCTTGAAGCTATGAAGCAGATACACATTTCGTTAGTAAACATATGGCCCTTGCTATTCTCCCTCCTGCTTTTAGAGAGATGGGACTATGTTAGCACCACAACCAAGAGGCCAGGAGCAACCAGAGCTCCAGTAAATGCTGCAGGTAAGAGACCCTCTCTGAGGCCGGTAGGGGAGGGTCCCGTGGAGCCCCTTCTGGGACAGTCTCTGAGCTACATATAGTTTAAGCATTTGGCTATTTCTTTTCTTTCAGGGATCCCTGCAATAGATGATTTTGACTTAGCTGATGCCTTGGATGATAAAAATGATCGAAATGATGGCCACAGGAACCCAAGTACAGCAGGAGAAGGAGGTAAGCCCAAGCTGTTGAAATCACTGGCGAGCTCTATGGCTTCTAGTGGTTCTACTTCATTGACTGCAACAGCCCACAGAGCCTAGGCCACTTGAAGCCACAGGAGCATCTTAGCTCAGCAGTGCTTGAAACTGTTTGGCTTTAGGACTCTACAAATGACCGAATTGCTCAAGAACTTTTGCTTCTGTGGGCTCTATTTATCAGCATTTAGCATCTTAGAACTGAACATTGAGGAGTAACTATTAGTCTAATGTGAGAAATACGAAAGCCATGTACATTAATGTATGTAGCTCATTTTATGAGGAATAAATAGTTGACCAGACAAAAACCTAATTTACTGAGAACATTCGTATTCGCATTTTTTGAAAATCCCTTTAATGTCTGGCTTATTCTGAGACATTATTATGGATCTCACATGTCTGTCTCCATCGAGCTCTGATATGTGGCTGTACTTGAGGTAGATCAAGAAAATTCAGTCTCACACTGATATGTAGCTGGAAAGGTGGGGGAATATTTGAGTAGACTTCTCAGGTCGGTGTGGGAAGACTTTTGTGATAGAACAACAAATCCCAAACAGTATTTATGTTTTCATGCTACGTGTGGTGTGGAATATGAAAATAGATCGGGAACTTTCCTCATTCACTTTCAGGGGACTTGCAGCATTTGTGGTTTATTAACATGGCACATTTGGAAAACATTGGTGACCTTCAAAATAATGTCACACTTCATTATGCAGGACCAAAAGTCATATTTGGTGATGTCACCACCATTTTTATTAGGACAAGTCTTTAAATATTGAGAAGCTATTAAACTCACAGTAGTATAGTATATTCAAGCTTTTAACAGTCCTAAATTTCACTCAAAATCTTTTTGTCTGTGTGTGCCAGTTCTGGGGTTCAAACTAAGGACTTGGGTGTTGTCTGTTAGCTTTTATGCTCAAGACTGTCACTCCTACTACCCAAGCCACAGCTCAACTTCTGGTCTTTTGTTGGCTAATTGGAGATAAGGGTCTCACAGACTTTCTTGCTTGGACTGGCTTTGAAACATGATAACACTCAAAATCTTATCAACAGTCAGTACAGTCAGTGATTTTCCTATATTGACAGGCTTGTCTCATTCATTAAAAGGATATAGCTACCAGGTATTTAGGTTCCTATATTGACAGGCTTGTGTCATTCATTAAAAGAATACAGCTACCAGGTATTTAGGTTGGTGTGACTATAGTTGATGCATCCTTTCCTCTGTCCAGTAAATGTGGTTTCCTACGACCCAAAGCAGCTAACACCAGTTAGAAGCAGAACTTCCATAGTTGTGAATAGTATTTGGAGTATGGAAATACATTAAGCAGACGTTCCATTTCATTCCATAGAATACCCAAATATACACACTCCATGGGTGAGCTGTAATGAACTTTTCTGTGACTCTGTAACAAAGTGTTAGAAACTTCGTAAGTTCTAAAAAAGTCAGGAAGCAGGTTTTTTTTATTTTTTTTTTTGCAGGGTCTCCTGTGGCTGCAGTGATGGTATCAGCCAGGGCTGGAATCTCATCTGAACTTAGGTTTTCTTGTGGTTATTGAAGGAGAATCTTTCTTTCCAGCTATAGGGAGAATGGCTACCTGTCCAAGACTAGCAGGAGAAAGCCAGTGGGAAGCAGAGGGTCAGGAGATCAAAAGAGTCTATTATTTGCTTCTGGTGTCTGAGGCTTGGGAAGGCCCAAACCTGCTTTGGAAGGGATCACTTGTCTAAGTCAGGCCCACCCAAACTAGTCTTTATTTGATTAACATACCTTAATTACACTAGCAGAATTGTTTCACCTTTGGCCCGAAATATAATCTAATCTCAGAGATACTGTGTATCTTCTCCACACCCCACTCACCCAGAGTGATACAAGAAGTCATCTAGGGTGTGTATCTTAACAGTCTTGGAATTTTGCCTGTCGCCTCCATCAGGACATTGAGTTTGGGGGGCTGGAGATAGAATCCAGGCCTCAATCATGGTGGGCACATGTTCTACCATTCAGTTAAATCCCCAGCACCATGAAGGCCATTCATAAATGGAGGTGACATTTTAGTAAATGCTGGGCAACACTAACAAATAGGAGTTTCTTCTTGCTGACGTTTTCTTTGGGTCATTGTAATGCATATTATGTCTCTTCTAGGTATTTCAGACAAGGATCTTGAAGACATCTTAGGAGGTGGTGCATACAAGCCTGATAAAAATAAAGGTAGGTAGCACAACTGAGTTGTCAAACCTTCCTTGCTCAACCTCAGGGAAATGAGAAGTGGGTACCTAGACAACTCAGCTTGCAAGTTGGGGTTCCCTTGGAACGGTGGGGCTCATGCAACTTGAAGGAATCATCCTAGAGAAACCACCCTTTTGTGGTGACACTCCTTATACTGTGAAACTGTGCGGGCTACTGTCTCCATGTTAGCAAAAGTCTGTTTGTCAGATAGCACCAAGGACAGTGACTGGCTGGAGGGCCTGTCTGTTCTGAGGTGGAAGAAGCCAATCACTATGAAAAATTCTTTTTGAGAGGCTCGTAACAAGTCAGGTAGCTTTGGAAACACCCTTTGTTTTGAAATAGTTAAGGACTTACAAATAGTTCAGGAGAGTTCCTGTATCCTTTTAAACCCAACTTTTCCTGAGGGTAATAATGGCTTATATAATCACGGCACACTGCTAAGCCAGGAAGCTGAGAGCACTACTACACTGAAAAGTCACCTCCAGACCTTACTCAGACTTCATCAGAGTTTAGACATATTCTGTGTGTGTGGGGGGGGGGCTAATGTATCTATGAAATTTTACATGTGTAGATTTCAGTAATCACCACTATAATTAGAGGAGATCCTACCAAGACATAAAAGAAAACAAAAAAAATTCGGCTGGGAAGGTGGCTCAGTGGTAGAGCACTTGCCTTGCATGCTTGAGGCCCTGGCTTCAATTCCTCAGCACCACATAAGCAAAAAGAAAAAAGCCGGGGCTGGGAAGGTGGCTCAGTGGTAGAGCGCTTGCCTTGCATGCATGAGGCCCTGGGTTCGATTCCTCAGCACCACATAAGCAGAAAAAAAGCCAAAAGGGGTGCTGTGGCTCAAGTGGTAGAGTGCTAGCCTTGAGCTGAAGAGCTGAGGGACAGTGCCCAGGCTCAGAGTTCAGGCCCACGACTGGACCTAAAAAAAAAAAAAAGAAAAAAAATTGTATCCTATGGAGTTCCTCCAAGCTACCAACCATTTAATCTTTCATTATAGCATACATCATATCTGCTCCTAAGTATGGAGAGATGGCAGGCCAGATTTGACGTAGCAAGACCAAGTAGGGTTATAACCTGTGGCTGTATCTTGTACATCTTAACTTGCTCTGATCACACGTTTGCATGGTAAGTTGTTGTTTGTAACTCTTTGGTTGTTACCTGTTGTCATGGCAATCTGCTGTGACAGGATGAGGGGGTTACAAGGTATAAGTGTATCAGATTGGAACCTTGAAATACTCCCATAGCCCTGGCTGTAGTCATCACATTTGCTCCTTTTTTTTTCTTTTTGGAAGAACTGCGTGCTTTTCATATGGGAGCAGTGTTCTCTCCTGATTAAAGTATACCACGGTCACATTTGTCCTTCGAAACACCTTTCCAGACGGTTTCATCTCTAGGAAAAAAAGCCCCCAAAGCTTTGAAATGAAACTCACGGGTGTCAGGAGAACATGGAACATTTAAAGGGCAAAGCCAGCAAATTAGCCAATTACTCCTGGGTGACAAATGGTATTTCAGATGGGGAGAGGAAGGCGGGAGGTGTGTGTGTAAGCACGCACACGAATGAGACTCTGAATGACATGTCAGAGGCTTTTCTTTATTAAAAGTACTTGTTTTAGCAAGGAAGAAGTGTTAGGAAATTCTTTAATTAGGCTCATATTGGAACTTCTCTTGTAAAGAATAATCAATTGTTCGCTTCAGTTATTCCCTCTGTCATGTGGTTGTCAAAGAGTCCCTGCAGAAAGGACAAGTGTGAAACTGAAGCCCACAGTGGGAGTTGAGACACTACCCTTTACACGAAAACACGACTGGGCTGTGAGCAAAGGGAGAGTGTCACATTTAAAGAAATGATCAGATTCAACAAAAAGAAAAGAACCCAATTAATGCATTTCCAGCCTTGACTCTTTGGGGCATAGATGCAGCAGCCCTTCTAGAGTGTATTTTTGAAATCATATGTTAACTATTTTTCCACCAGAAAACTATTACCCTTCACAGAGCCCCCCTTTTTAGGTAAAATGACAGTCATTTGTCATAGGTCATCCTCTTGCCTTTTTCTAAAAGAATGACACTAAACCTTTCTCCTCCACAATGACTCCCTTCCAGCCCAACCTGCTTTCTTTGACTGAAAAACTTGAGACCATGAAGCTTTACCCCTGCAGTATCCCCTCCGTCTTTTACTCCCTGGCATTCCCACTGTGAATCCCAACGACTTCCCTGATGGCCACAGCCCTCTGGCCTGAATGAGCTCTGTCCCATCAGATTTTGGTGATCCCCTTCTACTTAATGTTCTCTCCCCCCCTCCCCCGCTGGGCCCTTCCCAACTCCCTTGCTGGTCTCATGCCTGTTGGGTGTCCAACTCAGTGTATCCATATCCAGCAGGGAGGTGAATGCTGGCTAAAAAATTCACAGGTGTCACGTATGTGTCTTTTCCCGTCTTGGCTGTTGAAGCACAGTGATGTAGTGTGGATGGCCTAAACATCAGGCATGCACTCCCCCTGTTCTTAGGGCTGGGAGTCCACCAGGAAGATGAGAGCTCTTCCTGCCTTGCTCATCCGGCACCCTCACTGTAGACAAACATGGTGGTGAGCTCACAGACAGGAAGCAAGCTCTTCTGACTGTTAATGTAAGAGCCTAGTTCCCCTCCTGAAGGCTGCCCATCACTTCTGCAAAACCCCAACTTGAAATATTATGTCCTTTGCAAGGCCGCATTTTTATACCCAGATGTTTAAGGCCCAAAGCATGCACTGCTAAAAAAAACACGGTAGGAGTACAGTCCCATCCTCATGAAGATGGCAGCCGTTTGGTAGGGACATGGTCTGGGTCACCAAGAGGGCTCTCGAGAGATAGGACGCATGCGTAAAGAAGCATGAATGCCCACTTTATGTCCAAGGGCTAAAGGAGATGGTACTCCAGACTTGGTATCCTTGTTCCCCTCTGAGTACTGGTTGCCTCCAAACACAGCCTTTTGGTCCTCAGGGGATGCCACTGGCAGCTATTGTCCTGTATTTCATGCTAGGCGTCTGCACAACCCGTGCTCACCTATCTCCACACTCGGCCAGCAGGTGTCCAGACCCAGCCAGCTGCTTCCTGTCACTCACTTTTCAATTTGGGGTTTATTTCACAATATCACAAATGATAAATCTTTTTTTTCAATTTCCTGTATTCACCTTCTGGACCTCTCTTCAGCAGAATTTAAGCTTTCTGATAAGAAGGTGCTAAGCATCTGAGAGAGTAAAGGACAAATAATAAGTCTCGCCTCTCTGGTCTCACTGCTTGGATTCTCCAGTCTTCCAGCATCTCCCAAACCCCCAAGTTTCTCTCTTGAGCCTTTCAGTTTTTTAAAGTTTTGATCACTCTATAACATAAAATTATTTTAATCCACAAAGCACTGTATGCCTATAATACTAACTACTTAGGAGGCTGACATCTGAGGATCACAGCTCAAAGCCAGCCTGGAGAGAAAAGTGTGTGAGGCTCCATCTTCAATTAACCAGCAAAATGATAGACTTGAGGTGTGTCTCAAGTGGTTGCGTGCCAGCCAAAATCAAGAAAGCCAATTGCAAGCCTGAGGCCCTGTGTTCAAGTCCCAGTCTCAGTCCTCAAAATTTATATCCTGTATCTATAGAAAACAGTAGCCTTGTACATTTGCTCGTTTTACTCAGTGTCATGTCCTCAAAGTTTACTCATGTTGCAGCATGCCTCAACCTCTCTTTTTCCTGGATAATATTTATATAGTTAGACACATTTTATTTATCCATTTGTTCTGCTGAATCTCTGAGGGAAATACTTCCATGTTGGCTGTATTTACTGTCACTGTCTTGAAGTATCTGGGTCCTCTCGTGTGTTCTTTTACTGTTAGGGACTCATGTTATGTTTCCTTCCCTGGGGCCCATTCATGTGCTGAACTCCTCACTGTGTGATATTTTGGACACTGATCTTCTGGAAAGAGGTTACAGTTTGTTGAAGTCCCAACAGTGGGCTCTTCTGATAACATTAGTTCCCTCATAGAGAGGTACTCGAATGATTTCTTCTTTGGACCACTTTCCATGTTCTTTCCAGCTTTCATAACACAAGGAAAGAGTATGTTGTTGAATGTGAAGAGACTTCGGATCCCTTTCCCTGTCTACCACTACACAGAGCAGGGAGTGTGGTGCACACATGGGGCTGCTCTGCCGTCGCTCTTGGGGGCTCTACATAGGACTCGTGTTGATTGGGGAAAGCCCCCATTGTGTGATCTATAGGGAGACTGTTGTCAGTGCTGACGGAGAGGACAGACAAGATCTGTATCCTGGAGACTTTGTGAAACTGGAAGGCCTTGCTGGAGGGGCTGATGCCTCAGCCAGGGTGCCCCGTGTGCTGTGGAATATGTGTGCATTTCACTTTAACTCGGTGTCTGGGAGTCCTTCAAAGCAAGCTTTATCTTCTTTATTTTAGGTTATTTGTTTTCATACAGGTCTCACGATGTAGCCCAAACTGGCACTGAGCTTGTAATCCTTCCCTGCCTCAGCCTCGTGAGTGCTGGGATTACAGGTGTGAGCCACCACATCTGGCTTTGTTGATTCATTTTTAAACTTTTCTTTTTCTTTTTGCTTTTCTGTTGACTTTTGTATAATTACATTAAAAAAATCTCTAGAAGTCTTTGCTACGACTTGCTATAGTCTAGCTCATTCACCAGCATTCTTGAATACTAGAGAACCCCTTGCCATTGTGATAGTCCTACTATGTGATGTGCCTCTGTGTCCTTGGCATCCATGTGCATCAGCACTCACTGTGAGCCATTGGAGAGACACACATTATATTGTTGCCTCCTCTGGTGTGAGCCTCTGTGGGACTTAAGGCTGATAACATGTGTACATAGATGTATTGAGACATTGACACTGGGGCTTATTCCCAGTGTCCTAGTGTATCTACCTCATAGCTCTGGAGATTGCAAGGCTATAGCGGGTGGTTACATCTGGTGAAGTTCTTGGGCTAGAAGAAAAGTCAAAGGGCACATGGGAACAGGGCTTTGGAACCCTGTACACAGGGGTATCTGACTCTATAACAACTTGCTCTTGGAACGAATCCAGACCTAGAACAGGGACTTTAGTGTCTCTCTGTAAATCTTAGTTATAGTACTGAGGTTTGGCCTTGTGCTTGCTCTGCCGATACTACATTGTGCCTAATCACTTATTAAAGGCCCCGCCTCCCCACATTACCACGATGTCAATCATCAACTTCAACGCAGCTCTCAGAGTGGAGAAAATATATTGAAGCCATTGTACACAACTTCCTCACTGAGCCTCTTGCTCTACAGGGCCCCTGCTGCATAACGGTTGGCAGGAATGGGGGAATCCTGACTTTTGAGAATCCTAGCTTGTATGTAGATAAAGCATCATGTCCTGGACTGTGCACAGTGTTCCACTAGGAACAGCTTGTGACATACAGCAGGGTCTTGCTGCCCTCAAACTCCAAAGTCTGTAAAAAAAAAATATACAAGCTTTGGTCTGACCATCCAAGGCCAACAAGTCCACATCTGGACATGTGGGAGGCATTGATGACAACCGAGTCTCTGGAAGCTAAGGACATCTTAACTCTGATGTCTTCAGAGCCCAGCCCAGCACACCTTGAGCCCTCCTGCCCTCCTCTGTGGTCTGAGGGTGCATGCCTTTGCTTTGCCTTCTTAAGCCTGCTTTTACTGAAGTCTCCTTTGTCTGTCCTTTCTCTAATAAGATCAATGATTTTTCTGGTGATCCAGATTCAGTGGCACTGTCACTGCAGGATCAGCCACAAAACTGCATGTAGCTAAGTGTGGGCTCAGGTATCTATACTGAAAGCATATTGCACCGTGATGGACACTGCAGGAAAATGTCTGATAAAAATCGAGGTCCAACAGAGTCTGTCTGTTGGGTTGATTGTTTTTGATGGAACTGGGGTTGGATTTATTTTTTTTTCTTTTCTTTTTTTTTGGGTCCGGTTGTGCGGCCTGAACTCTAGGCCTGGGCGCTGTCCCTCAGCTCTTCAGCTCAAGGCTAGCGCTCTACCAATTGAGCCATAGCACCACTTCTGGCTGTTTCTGCTTATGTGGTGCTGAGGAATCGAACCCAGGGCCTCATGCATGTAAGGCAAGCACTCTACCACTGAGCCACCTTCCCAGCCCTGGATTCATTTTCATGGATTACATTGACTTCGTTATTTTAGGTCAGTGTTTGCCACTTGGCCCATTTCAGTTTTGCACAGTGTATACTTTACAGAATAGCTGGGTTCATTCTGAGCTCAGAGAATGTGTTCAGAGTGTGTGCACTTTCAAAGCCATGACCTTGGCCGAGGCCACAGAGGCTAGGCCCAGGTGGCTAACTAATTCATTCAACTCGATGAGAAAGAATTGATCTTCCACTTGTTAACTCGCCTCCCAGGATGACGACAGGATGGGATCGCTTGTGTAGATGAGCAGAATCACATGCTACTTATGACCTTAGGACGGTGCTCCCGATAATGATGCGATCAGAGAGGAAGTGCTGGGTGCACAACGTCGTGAGCTTTGGGACTCAATCAGTCTTGGACAAGGAATTAGGCAAGGGGAATCCTGTATTTATTTTCTGCAACCTGCCAGTTCCTCGCTCAGCACTCGCATGGCGGGTACTATTCAAAGTGCTGGGTTTTCTTGTTGCCAAGTACTAAGAAGGACAGAAAGGCAAGAACATGGAACTTTATTCTAGCTTGAAGGGAGGAAAGAAAAGCTTGAATTACTCAGACTCAAACCAAGGAATGTAGTGACAGCACAGCAGAGAGTAGCACTGACAAGCTAGTGCCATCAGACTCCAAACGCCACGGCTGACACGTTAACACACACGATGCCTCCTGCCCTCCTCCCTCTCTGCTTCTCCACAGCTGTGATTGCCCTTGTTACCAATGCATGTGGGCCTGGGGCCACATCCCTTTAATCTCAGCACTCAGGAAGCTGAAGCAGCAGGATGTAGAGTTGGAGAATAGCTTGAGCTATCTGACAAGACTCTGTCTCAAAACCCAAACAAAACAGAAATACTGGTGTTCCTTGTTCTGTAAGTATCTGAGATTTTTCTGAATGCTTTTAGCACAAAATGCACTCCCGATGGGAGTATAGCATACCTCATCTTTCACCTGATGACTTTTCTCAGTAATAGGGTTTATATCTTAGAGCAACTTTAGCTTTATAGCGAAATATTGAGTGGAAAGCACAAAGACTTCTCTACCCCTCTTACCTGTTCCTCCATTCCATCTTTCGTCACCAGAGCAGCGCGGTTTTACACTCTGTGAACCTGGTGAAGGAGATGTCAGAGTGCATTGTCTCCAACACTCTCACCGAGTTTTCCCCAAGGGCCCTGGAAGCTATGGCCCTCTCTATCAGTCACCATTCAGCCCTAAGAAGGAAGGCAGATGAAGGCCAGACTGAGGCTCAGACTGAGTGCCATCCTGAAATTAATGGTAGCAGTGGTTTGTCATGGAGTTTCTGTGTGTACATGTGCACACTCAGGTGTGAGTGTGTCCCGATGCAGTTTCAACACGTGTGTAGCCATCACCATAGTGAGGTGGGTGTGGTCTGTCACAGCAATCCTTCCTCTTTCAGCACTGTCAACCTTCCCAACCTCCCTTCTGCCATCCTTCCCAAGGCCTGTCAACACTCATCTGTTGGACATGTCTGCGATGTTTCAGAGCTGTGAGCATGTGAGGAGTGGATATGACATAATGAGCTGGCCCTTATGTTCCCTGTAGCTGGACAGTAGCTGCTTAGGAGACGCATGGTGATGGCATTCATATGGTGTGCTGAGTGCCACTGTCTCATTGGAGAACGGAGATAAAGTGGAGCACAATGTGTATGAAGTTTTTGAAGTGCTCAGGACTGGGTGCCGGTGGCTCACACTTGTAATCTAGCTACTCAGGAAGCTGAGATGTGAGGATCACAGTTTGAAGCCAGCCCAGGCAGGAAAATCCGTGAGACTCTGACCTCCAATGAACTACTAAGAAAAAGCCAGAGATGGCGCCGTGGCTCAAGTGGTAGAGTGCGAGCTTTGAGCATGGAGAGGCTCAGGGACAGAACCCAGGCCCTGAGTTCAAATCTCAGGACTGCCAAAAAACCAAAGTGCTCAGAGCCTGGTAGCTCCCTCGCTGTGCTGACTCTGAAGCCCACTGGTTGAAGGGCCACAGCAGACACTAAGTGCTTTTGTGCTTTCTCTCTAGGTGACGGTGGATACGGCAGCAGTGACGACCCTGGATCTGGTGGGTGTCTGTGCTTTAGAGTTTCTGGTAGGAACTAGGCGGAGAACATGTACTGGCCCTTTCCGGTTGCAGACTTGATCTCCCTTCTTTTCCTCTGCATGTTTCTGTGTTAGTTTTTCACCACTATGGCCAAATACCTGAAATTATCAACTACAAAGGAGGAAAGAGCTGGGCATTGGTGACTCACGCCTATAATTCTCCCTATTCAAGAGGCTGAAATCTAAGGATTGTAGTTTAAAATCAGTCCAGGCAGGAAGTTGGTGAGACACCTCCGATTAACCATCCACAAAAAGCCGGAAGTGGAGCTGTGACTCAAGCAGTAGAGCACTAGCCCTGAATGAAAACACTGAGAGATAATGCTAGGTCCTGAGTTCAAACCCTAGTACCCGCACAAAAAAGGAGGAAGGATATATTTTTGCTCATGGTTTCAGAGCTTTTGGGTCATGATTACCCTATTGCCTTTGGGCCTGGGATGAAGAAGCCCATGGTAGAGACTACTGAGACCCATAGCACGGAGGAGCAGTTATTTGAGGGAACTGGCATGAAGATCTAGTTCCCAGGCTGAGGTGGCCACTGGGGAGTCCGCTATCCCCAGATCCTGTTGTCTCGGGGGCCTCAGTAAGAGGAAGGCCATGCCCTTTCGCCCTTCCTCCAAATGGAAGTTTTTACAGAAGACCAGAAGCACTTGGCAAATCCAAGGGGCACTGTGCCATAGTCATGTCTTGACTATGTGGCACACCCGTCTCGTGCGGGCTCGGGGTGTGATGGGTCTCTAAACCAGCTTAGCCCAGGGCTAAAGCAAAGCAGAGTCCTGGGCTGAGCCTTGTGTTACTGTGTCTTTGTGCTCAACTCTTGTCAACTTTCCCTGTTGTTCTAGGCTCAGGCATGTCTGCAGAGACTGGCACCATCGCAGGAGTGGCCAGCGCCTTGGCCATGGCCCTGATTGGGGCAGTGTCCAGCTACATCTCCTACCAGCAGAAGAAGTTCTGTTTCAGCATTCAGCGTAAGTGCGGCTGAGCTGGGAAAGGGGCTTGGGCGGCCAACCCCCTTCCACAGAGAGCAGCGTGTAAGCAGGCTTCCAGGGCCTGGGTATGGGAGAGCTGTTTAGGAAATCCTTAGGGGAAAATGTGGGCTGAACTAAAATGTATAACAGCCTCAAAGAACAGATGGAGCCAGATGAGGCGACTCTTTGCTTCAGGTGCCCAGTTCCCAGAGGCCCAATGTCTGTGAGGACAAAGCTTGCTGGCCAGTATGATGTCTTCTTCTCCTAGTGTGGGAGGAACCATGGGATCCCTGGAGCCACAGGTCTCTCCTAACAGTGCCTGCTTTTGTGACCACAGGACTGTGGTCTCTGTGGGTGTCTTAGTCATGGTAGCAAGTGCCTTCAAGCAAGCCAGAGCTCTTGGGTTGGTGGCAATGCCCCCTTTCTGGTTCTGATCTCTTGTAAGGTCAGTGCTTGAACTAGATACTTTAAAATGAAGGGAATCATGAATTGTTTGAAGGAGTGGAAATGTAAGCAAAGCAACAGACTGTGGCTTTTGTCCCCACTAGACTTGGAAGATTGGTGGTGTTTTAGACTCTGGGCATGGGTGGGGAGTTTAAGGGTGAATTAAACTGTTGTAGAGTGACACCGGGGAGCCCCCGACTTGGCTATCATATAGGAACAGGAGCGCTTAGTGCTATCCATCACCCCCACTTCAAAAGCAAAACGAGAACACTGCTACATTTGAAGAGAGGGCCGAGTTTAGGAAGAAGAGGTGTCGGGACAGTTTGGTGTCAGTGTCCTGGTCTGGGCCTAGAATGAGGAGCAAGGAGGAAGAGGAAGATAGCTGTAAGCCCCTATCTCCCATCTTGTTCTGGCACCTTTGAAAGAAGAAGAGATCACAGCAGAGTAGAGGCAGCTTCTGTCCCCAAGGCCATCAGTGCTCCAGCAGGTGGGTTTGCTCCACTGCCATGGCCTTCCCTGTGGCCAGGGACTGTCCCTATCTTGGGGACTGTGAGCAGGGGGAGAGGCCCTGAGCCAGGGCTTTGAGAAGGAGAGCTGTCTGCTGGCCAGAGAAAGACTAAGAGTCTGATGAGTAGCTCACTCTTCAAAAAGGTCACACTTGGGTTAACCTGTGCTGTAGGACAAAGTGGGAAATGGAGAGGACGAGATAGAGTCTGTTTGACCAGCTATACCAATCACAACCAAAGCACTGCCTACCAAGTAACTTGATTAATTTTGTAACTGTCACATATGCAGTGATGTGCTCATAGCCATACTTAGAGTGTAGGTCTTTTTTAGCCAGAAGCACATAGGCACATTTGTGTATGTGTGTGTGTGTGTGTATATGTGTGTGTGTGTGTGTGTGTGTGGGAGAGAGAGAGAGAGAGAGAGAGAGAGAGAGAGAGAGAAGGAGGGAGGGAAGGAAGGGAGGGAAGGGAGGTAGGGAGGGAGAGAGCGTGAACATAGGATTCAGTATCTGAGACTTCTTCTTTGGCTGGTGCTCTGCCACCTGGAGCCATACCTCTAACCCCTGGACACATTTTCATCTGGCCATTTCCTTACCCATGTAATTGGGAAGCAAGTTGGAAATTGGCCACTTGTGCTTGGGCTTGGGTCTTAGTCATGAAGTGGGTGTGAGCAGTTCAGACTATAAGCCCCAAATGTAGGAGTCAGCAGGTTCCTAGGTAAGGTTTTCCAAACAAACCAAGTACATAATCTTGAAACATCCACATCTGCAAAGACCCTTTCCCCAGAGAAGGTCACCTTCACAGCTTCCAGGGACACAAAAAGCCACACAAAAGGCCTGGTGAGGTTTCACAAACCAAAGAGGCCACCATGACACAGACAGGGTTAGCAGGAGAGCCTGGGCATGGGCGTCATCTGGCTCAGCTGCTTTGTCAACAAGGCACCGAATGACATAAACCCCTCAACTCTACGCTGCACACAGGACTCTTAGGAGTTTTCAAACTTGATTCCTGCAACTTTGGGATTTCCACAAAACCAGGTTTCTACATTGTGCCAAGGCCCTGTAGCAGATAATGGTTGTCTCCATGCTTGGAGACACACACCTCAGAGCAGGCGCCCTGGGATCTGATGAACTTTGCTCAGGTCCCTTCTCTCAGAGCCCAAGCTTGTGATAGTGTCCCCACTAGAGGATAAAGGGGCTCAGGTACATAGGTCAAGGTCAAGGTGGACCCTGACTGGTCACAGCTACAAAGGTCAAGCTTAGCACCCTTCACACAGATCATTCACACCCAGGGCCCGTGTCTTCAGAGCTGCGCCCGTGGGTGCAAAGCCAGCCTCATGTGTCAGTCTCGAACAGGCAGGGCAGCATATAGCTGAGAGGACTTGTGTTGTACAGACAGGGTGGTCCATCTGGGCTTTCTCCCACTGGGACCTCAGCTCCCTTCTGTCTCTGGACAAATCAGATGATCAGACAAAGCCAATGATGGCTTAAGGCCACTTAGGTACCAGTAGGAAGAGAGGAGAAAAAGGTTCATTTCCAAAGCTCCAAATAAACATCTCAGTGGGACTTTTTTTGCCTCAGGGTGGGGGGGCACTCAGGTTCAAGGAGCCCCATCATTTTTCCACTTGTCTCCCCCAGCAGACGGGTGTGAGGATTTGCAAGTTGAATGAACAGGCAAAGCACTCTGGCTCCACAGAGGCCTGGCCCATGCAGGAAATCCCGTGCCTTCCCTTTTACAACCACACCTGCCATGCCTCCCTTTTACCACTGCTCTGTCCAGGCCCACACCCTTCTTTCTGCCTTCACCCTGCTGGATGGTTTCATCTACATCCTCTTCATCATCTCTCTTATAGTTTAGTGTCTTCCAGGGTACCATGTTTAAAAGTGCCTAAGCTCTGAGCTTGGCATTAGTAAGCCATTGAGGTTTGGCTCGTGTTTGTCTCCAGGGAGTCTCTCCAACAGCCAGTGTCCCTTCCTGGTACCCAATTCTTCCCAGGGATGGCCTTTGCTATTCTTCCAGGCCTCGGGGAGCCCCACCCACGGAGCCTTCCAGCCACTCAGCCAGTGGCCACCTCAGCAGTGCTTCTTTGTGTTGCCACAGCGCCCCCTGCTGATCTCACTCAAGCCTGTGGGGCCAAATTGGTCAGTTGCTTTCTCTGTAGGTGCCCAGACTCCAACCCCACATTCCTTTGAGCTTTCTGTTCCATGGGGGCTACTGTGGGTACTTTGTGCACCGGTGACTTTCTTGCACCTCATCCAGGTTTGCAGCCGGAAGGGCCAAGGGCATGTCTGTGCAGGAGGTTAAGCTCATGAGCAGTCGGGGAGAGACTTCCTTCCCCTCCCTGTGATTCCGCTGAGCCTCTGCCTCGAGTCAGCCTTGGCCTGTAGCACCTGCAGATCAGGAAGGGCCAAGGAAGAACCCCCCAGAGAAACGGCCGGTGGCTGGTAGGAGGACCTGTCTCCTCCGCTGTGGCCCTGTGATGCTCTCAGCCTCTGTTGCTAGCAAAGAGGCCCCCACTTAGGCGACCCTGGACCTCCGTGTCTGCTCTCCGTGCCAAGGGTCAGTGCCTCTCACATAAAGCCCAAGAGGTTTGTTGCCTGGAGCTGAGTTCTTACTTCTGGTTCTAAGCTTCGTGTGTTGCCTTCAGATGCAGCAGAAGGTCAAGGTAACAACGTGCTTGGACTTCCTCACGCTCCTTGTGCTTTGGCCTTGGACATCTCATTATCCATCCCCTGGCCCCTCTTCCCAGCCGCGCTTTCTCATCGCTTATTGTCCCATCTCCCTTTCCTGGCACTCCCCAATTTGGCTGCCACCCCCAACCATCTTTAGCTCTCGCTGATACATGTGTGAGTATGCCACCTGCTAGACTGTGTGTCCCCAGACCCAAGGTGGCTGCTGTTGGGGCTAGGGACTCAGGGGAGTGAAGGGGGGCCGTCACATGTCTGCTGGTAGTCATCTCTGAACAAGAAAGCCATCTTGGCAGTGAGTGGGAGGCCTAAGGCCTTCAAGTACCGGCTCATCATCTGCCTGGCTTTGCACTGGAGCGGGGGTGTGTGGCAATCACCCTGGCCAAACAGTAACGCCAGCATTTTTCATGGACCCATCTGACTTCCATCTGGAGACCAGCGATCACAAGGGAAGGCCAGTCTGTAGCCCAGGATGGCCAACTGGCTTGAGCTGGTGCCTGGTCAGTGTGGATCAGTTAAGAGCTAACACCCGCCCCGGCCACCCCCACTTCCCATAGGCCCCAGGTTACTTACCAAGGGAGAACATAAAGATAGATTCTTGGCTCTGTTTAGCAGATGCAGGGCGGGGCCAGTCCAAGCCTGGATCATAAAGCAGAGCAGAGAGCAGCTTGGGTGGGGATCCCAGTTCTCCATGCTGCCAGGAGAAGCCAGTTGGCCTGCCTGAGCAGGTGCTGCCTGAGAGGCCGTATGCTAGCAGAAGGCTTTGTTGGCATGTCCAAAGTGAGCCCCGTGTAGCCATCTACCATCACTGCCCTGCCTCCATCAGTCACTCCTGAAACACTTGGCTCCCTTCCACCTACCCAGCACCTGGGCCACATGTGGCCCCGTAGCTTTGTGGTGAGCCTTGCCGTGCAGTGACTTCTCTTGTGGGCGGAGCTGAGCAGCTAGTGTGATCATAGAGGTGCAGGGGGAAGTCTCTTGTCCCTCGCTAACAGGCCTTTGCCTTTTGCAGAGAATCTTAATGCGGACTATGTGAAGGGGGAGAATCTGGAAGCCGTTGTGTGTGAGGAGCCCCAAGGTAAGAACTTTGTGATCACTGTCCCTTGCCAAACGAGTTCCAGTCGGTGGCTTCAAAATACAGCAGAGGTGGATTTGCGAAGCAAGGGAGCTCAGGAGTGTCTGCTTCTAGAAGGGTCAGCAGAGTTGGCATTTACCCAGGGTACCAAACTGTTTCCCTGATCAGTCAAAAAGCTTAGGAACCTGGAGTGCAGTCAGACCTCTGTGGTGCTAGGTCCATGGCTTCTGGGTACTGTTGCTGCTCAGCCTCTGCTCTTGCTTTGCCTGAGCTAGACCCCCAAACATCTCTACTCCGTGGTAACAGAAAAGATTGCCACCCTGGGCATGTTCACACACAGTTGTGTGATAGCTTCTCAATGGAATCTGTAGCCATTTGATGTGAAATCACCAAACACTGCATGGCACTCACTTGCTTCAAACACTAACCGAGGCTTGGTCAGAACCTGGAGTGACCCATCTCTCCAGAAAGACACAACCTGTGCAGACCAGCAGGTGACTTCCATCCACGGAGACTGGAATGAATACACAGGGAGACAGGAACAGCCTACGTGCATAACATGATCAGAGCAGGAGGATAGCAGTGGGGAGGGGGGGGCGACAGGGAGCTCCAGGATAACTTGGCCCTGTGTACCACATAATGGGCAAGAAGATCACAAAGGGAAACTTAGCCACGGAATGAGTGCCACCCCGGCTCAGTCAGTGCTGGATTGAGTACTTTAGTTACAGTAAGCCAACAGTCCACATGGGAGCATTCCCAACGTCCACATGAAGAAGCAGAGGCTGAGCTTTTGCAGAGCCTGTGCATCTTCTCCATTTGTCCTGCACCCAATCCTAATGCAGGGAGTGGGACCCAGAGGGATGGGCTGAGCTGCTCCAGCTCTGGCACAACATGCAGAGACCCTGAATTGGGAGCTTGGTTGTCTGTTCTTTCTGTGCAGGATGGAGGCGAGCCCCTCCTCACAGAAATCTTTTTCTTTCCCTAGTGAAATATTCAACTCTGCAAACACAATCTGCACAGCCGCCGCCACCGGAGCTGCCGCGGATCTGAAGGGAGGCCTGGCTCAGCAGCGCGCATGCGCGCGCGCCCCAGCTCTTGATTTCCTTTCTAAGCTTCCCATGTCATTGCCTTTTCATTGTTCTGAGTTTCCTGGACAAGCTTGGGTGTTCTTGAGAGTGATTTCTGTGCCCTACCCCGGAGGGCAGGGCACTCACTCTGCCACAGGTACCTTGAAGAGACTTGGTGCTGAGACTGGAGACCTGGCTCCAGATCTCCAGTACTGGAAGCTTCTGAGGCAGCCTGCTCCGGCCTTAGTGTAGGGAGGGTGGGGGGTGGGGGAGAACTGGAGTGAGAATGAGGAGAGCAGTGTCAAAGGAGAGCCTTTCTGCACACTGGAGCTGCTCACAGTGGCAAGAGTACCAACAGGCAGCCTCTGCCAGTGACCCCTGAGGGTTTGAGGAGAGCCCAGTTAGTGCCTCTTCAATTGGAGCCCCTTCAATGGTCAAATGAACACCAAGCAACACGCACACACATGCACGTGCGTGCGTGCACGCACACGCGCGCACACACACACACACACACACACACACACGGGAGGGGGGGAGGGGGAAGGGACACTGGTTTTATTTTGGCCCTTCCAATTCCCGCTTCTATATTGCTGGGCTTCCAGAGAGCTGGTCCAGGTGGAGGCTTTTCAGTGGTTTTAAGGGCAAGTATGCATCTGATATTCTTCCCTGGAGACTTTAGGGACTAAGGAAGTTGGCTGCTGTAACTTGTGGAGCTCCCACTGGATTTCACAGGAGCTGGGGTGACTACAGGCCAGCCTGGGTAAGAGATCTTAGCAATCATTTTTTGCATTTGACAAGAGTTTTAGATTAGGACAGTGTGCCACCCCTACTCCATCTGCAATGTTTTTTTGGGGCAGCAGCACTACAGGTAGGGAGAATATCTGCAGCATGTGTGATCTGAAATGGGAGGTAAGGGTGGGGTGGGGGAGGGAGGGATGCTGGATTAATCAAGTGGAATGCCACTGCCTTTGTAGCTCTGTATTTGTCTTCCTTGTCTGCTTTGATGAAGAGTCCTCGGACCTTGTTCTCCAGGGGAAAATTAAACTTGGGAACCCAAGGAGTGGCCCAGATCTACCAGGTAGCACCTGGTTAGGGGGAAGCAGAGCCGGCTTCCTAGGTTCCTTTGGCCTTTAACCCCAGTGAGCTGAGCACTTGGAGACTGAACTTGAATCTAGAACCTGTGGGAACTAATAGTTTGCCATTTCAAAAAACACTTGTGAAAGCAGGAGGGGCACCCCTGGGTGAGCAAGATCCTCTTTGCAAAATTCAAAGGATTTTCTGGACTGCATGCTCACCTACCCCACACATCCTACAAGCTGCATAGGCTTCCTCACACCTGCTGTGCTAGGATGGGAAAACTCCCATTTTTTAAGGAAACGTTCGAAACCTAGCAGTGAAACATTGAAATTCTAATGTCAAATACAAGCTTGCAGTGTGGCCTCTGCTTTCCAAGCGTGCTCATGGTGTAGGGTGCAAGGGTGGTACCAGGTGTCCAGGTGGCTGTGCACCTGTGGGCTCGGATGCACCCCTTGTCTTGTTTGATCACTGATACCACGCACACCTGCACTGTGGATCTGAGCGGGAAATGTGGCCTCAGGAAGACCCTGTGGTTCTTTAAGAAGTGAACTAATGTGCTGGGGCGTAGCACAGCAGCAAAGCACTTGCCTAGCAAGTGCAACGTTCTGATTTGATTCTCCATACCAAAAAAGAAAAAGACCCCAAAAAATCCAAATCAGTTAAAAAAAAGAAGTGAATCCAGAATTCCCACTGTCACCCAGGTTCCCAACTGCTTTGTGATAACAGACGAACAAAAAGCAAAGGGGAAATGTCTCCAGTGCTTATGTTTTACAACCCATAGACATGAGGGACTTTTTCTCTTGTTCTAAAGAATACCTGGATATTCTGTCAGAAATAAAATTTGGGATTTCTTTTGAAAAGAAGTGAACTAGCAGCCCCCCTACCCCGCTGGCTGATTGTTGCAAGGTTGATGTCGCCCTAACACGGAGTTCATCAGGAGATGACGGCTTCACACCTTGCCTAGTTGCTAGGCTAAAGGACGCTGTGAAGTTTGTTGCCATCTCTGGCTTCTTACCACCTACACAGCAATTACCCACTTTACCTTGCTGGTGAGGCCCATGTGGTGACAAAGGCCTTGTACCCTGCAGCCATACTGTAAAATACATGTTCTGTGTGAAGTCCTTTTCTCAATAGCAGTGACTTCAGTGAAAAGAACACCAATTTGCACTCCCTTAGCTACTTCCGTGCCTTCTGCACAAAGCCCTTTGCCATAAAACTCATCACTGGCCCACAGGTACTAGCTCAGAGGGCCTGGACAGGCCTTGGCAGGCCCTCAGCCTTCTATTCACAGTCTCACCCCAGGGACTGGCCTTTGCCTTCCCACCAGTATGTTACATTTGCTTGGAGACTGGGGCCTGCAGAAGTCTTGGGGACAGTTCTTGTAATTGTGTCCATCAGAAGGTGATGGTAGCCAGCTCTGGCCTGTCCCAGGCAATAGGAGAGAGACAGCCAACTCGAAGATCTAATCTCTCTACTAGCCTAACTGGCAGGGAGAATTTTTTAAAAGGTCAGCATTTACGGTATCAGCTATGAGATCATGAGCGAGGTGATAGAGCTCTCAGCCAAGAGAGCCCGAAGGCAGGTGACTTGGGGGGGTACATCCTGGTGTGGGACAGGCCCATGCCTCGCTCCTTAGGTTAGTGTTAGTACCAGCTCTGTGAAGAAAGTGCTGGAGACTACAAGAATGCCCTGTCCATCTTTTCTGTGAGATGTCCACGTGTAAATTGTAAACTGTCTCATGTTTGCATTAAAGAAAATGCAACCCCACAGATCCTGGTCTTCACATGGTGTTAAGGTACATCCTGTCAAATGAGGCTGTCCAGCTTTGCCCGCACTTGTGTACGAAGTGGTGCTCATTCATCCCTTCCTCCCAAGATAACACTTCTTGCACTTAGCCCATCCATCAAGTATCTAAGCTTTGTCCTCAGAGCAAGCTGGGAACCGACATAGCTTCTAGTTATGTGCAGCTGTTTCAGGCAGAGAAACCTGGGCACAAAAAGGGCCCGGCTTGTACTGAAATAGCATCAAATCCTCAAACCCAACCAAAGCCACCCTGTCAGTCCTGGGCAGTTCTTTCCAGCTCGTCATGGCCTGGCCTCACCCAGTAGGCTTTTCAGCCTTTTACCTCTGCTGTCCCGGCCGGGGTGGCTGGCTGGGCGGTGGCCAAACATGCATCTCTGCCCCTAACACTGAGTCTCTTGCTCACTCTGCAGTGACTCATGTGGAGAAGATTAGCAATCCTGCATCCTTAGGTTCGGGGGAGCCTCAGGGGATGTGAGGATATCATCCAGGCCTTTACATCTCCGAAAGACTACACAGTAGACACCAGAGACTAGACCTGGCAAGGGTCCAAGAGCATTGTGTATGCGCTCGAAGGTCCCAAGTGCTGTTACTTGGGTGTCTCCAGCTGTCCTCAAGGTTACAGTTGAGGGGCATTGCAGATTTGTTTTGTTTTTTGTCGGTCATGAGGCTTGAACTTTGGGCCTGGGCGCTGTCCTTCAGCTCTTCAGCTCAAGGTGAGTGCTCTGCCACTTGAGCCCCAGCACCACTTTTGGTTTTCTGGTGGTTCACTGTAGATAAGAGTCTCACGGACTTTCCTGCCTCGGCTGGCTTTGAATTGTGATTCTCAAGATCTCAGCCTCCTGAGTAGCTAGGATTACAGGTGTGAGCCACTGGTGCCCAGCAGAGGGATATTACAGATTTAAAATCAGACCACTGATTAGTTCCTGCCTGCACGATTCATAAAAATGTACATCTGTCATTTCGTAAATGAATTAAATCACACACACGGGCACTTCACATATACCAGTTGTGGTTGGCACGTAGTAAACATTTAGTACATGTTACATATTACTCATTTTCCTCCAGGGAAGATCCTAATGAAATAACTTTAAAAAGAGAGACAACAAAAAGGCCAGGAAGGTAACATATTATACTTTTTCATTAGAGATTGAAATACAGTGCATCAGATGGGGCAAATACGATATTGTACCAGATTTTTAGAAACCTGAACCTTAAAGGTTTTTACATTCTAGTACACTTAAATAAAACAACAACAAAAAAGAATTTATCTTAGATAACAAAACTATACTTCAAGTTCTTTTAGAAACACTTCTGTGCTAGGAACATACAAAGGGAAGTGCTCTGTTGTGCTTAAAGTTGACAGTTTCTAGGGACCCTGCTGGTGGAGATCCCCAGGTGAGGGAGAATACGGCCAGATCAGGCGCCAGCTTCCATCCACCAGCACCAGAATACCTCACCACAGAGCAAACTGCATGGGCTCTCTGGGACTGTCAAAACATCTGGTCTAGACTACATTTAATTGTCCTAGTGTAGTTGGGAGACTAAAGGATATTGCTAGGGAAAAAAAATCACTTAAAAAATCAATGTACCAATGAGTACTTGTTTATCCATTTGTTATGCTTATTGTTGCCGTTTGGAGAGGACAAGATTCTGCTACGTAGCTCAGGCTGGCCTGGAACTCAGTATCCTCCCATTTCTATCTGCTGAGTGCTGGCATTACAGGTATGCGTCATTATGCCTGGTGTTTATCCATTCATAAACTATATTTCTAGGTATGTTTGGACCATAAATCAAAAAGCTACTGTGGATTAAACTATGGTTTAGAAACAAATCCCCCAGGTGATAAAAATGGAGAATTGATTTTAGGTTATCAAACAACCTTGAATAAATATGTCTAGTATCTTATAGAAGGATAATCTTCTATAAGACTCAGAAGGTTCCAAGTTGAAAAAACATCTATTCTCTACACATTTGGCTGTAGAAAATTTCTTTAAGAATATATTTTCAAAAATAAGGTCAATATGTAGGACTTTGCATGACATCCAGTGATTTGACCCCGAGCAGGGAAGACACAATGCAGCTGGACCCCCGTGAACCTCTGGGGCACGTGTGGCTCTGGGGGCAAGCTCGCCTGTCTTGAAGGAGCTAAGAGTTGACAGGAAATTCACTCCAGCAAAGACTGATGCAGTGGCAGAGCTCAAAGTCATTGGATGAAGGTGCAAAACCGCAGGAGGCCCGAGTGGCCATGGCTGGCTCAGAACCAAGGAAAGGGAGTGCTCTACATTTCCAAAGCAGAGCCTTGGCACAGTGGCTGCTTAATCATGGACAGCAGCCACATGTCAATCAAGTGAGGTGGGCGGGCCAGGCATAGAACAGGTGGAATCAGACTTGCTTTGATACAAATGCCTGCTATCTTAGGGGTGGGAGGGTACCAGGTTCTGGTGCCCCAGAACAACTGACACACCTTGCTCATGAAAGGAATTGTCTCCAAGGGAGGCCAGCACCTGTGCAGAAGCCCGAGTCCTCAGTTGACCCACAGAAAAGCCAGAGGACTGAGCACACCTAGTCCGTGCCATCCTGAGGGAACTCGGGGCCACCTCAGGAGACAAGTACCAGACTTAGTCTGAGGGCAATCACGCATGGCCATTCAAATGACCATATCTCATGTCTTGTTTCCAATGTACCACATAAAAGCTAGCATGATGTGAGTTGGGAAAGAATTTCTCACACAGTACAGTTAAGCAGATACCACCTCAGGTGACTGACTATTCTAAACATAAAAAAAAGGACATAGGAAAATAAAGGTATGTTTCTCTTTTAAAAAATACCTTATATGTACACAACAGTAATTGGTACTGGAAGACCCCTGGCATGAAGAGAATTGTCGAGTCGATGGTGATGGTCTGTTTCCTCCAAAGGTTTCATTTACACACACTTTGCAAATTGTGGCAAAAAGCTGAGGGAAGCCACCGGCTGGCAATGTGGTCTTAAAGTGAATGGTTCATTTCAAAGGGAGGACTGAAGGTGGAAAGGAGTAATGTGAGTTGTTAAGCATTGCATTCCCTCTAGCTCCCCCCTGAGCTGCCTGCACAGCACAAGGTGGCTCGGGGTGGGTGTGACAGGCAGTTCTCTGTGGGACTGCTGACAGGAGGGGAAACAGACTGTTCACGACACAAAATGCACTTACCCACGCGAGAGCTGTCACCTAGCCACACAAATGGTCCCTGGGCCTAATCCTAAGATAAGATCACAAGCTACAGCCAGAACAGCAACGGCCAGGCCCTGAGCCACTGGGAAGACGATAAAGCAGCAGGATGGCCCAAGACCCTGGCTCTGCCCATCAGACCGAGGTGTGGACAGGAGTGGCTGAATGAGAAGGGGAGGATCCTCGTTCAGAAGAGGATGAGACAGCGCGTGCGGCCACTTCCCGTTGTAGATCCTCTACCCGCTTCTGTAGCTCAGCCTTCACGGCCAGCAGCTCCTTCAGATTCTGGTGAATTGGCATCTGATGGCAAGCAGACACAAGGCTGTGTTAGCAGCTGCTGGGACCCATTTATATCACCAATCTTCCACCAAGTCCATGGGCCCCAGGGACAGGCCAGGCCTTTCTCATTGTCTCTCTCTTTCTGTCTTTCTCTTTTTCAGCCTTTCTCTCTGTCTCTCTCAGTCAGTCAGTCAGTCAGTCTGTCTGTCTGTCTGTCAGTCCTGGGGCTTGAACTCAAGGCCGGGGCACTGTCCCTGAGCTTTCTTAAAACTCAAGATTAGCACTCTACCACTTGAACCACAGCTACACTTCTCGCTTTTTGCTGGTTCATAGGAAATAAAGTCTCACAGACATTCCCGCTCAGGCTGGCTTCAAACCACAATTCTCACATCACAGCCTCCTGAGTAGCTAGGATTACAGGCTTGTGTCACCTGTGCTGGGCTACCCCCTGCTCTCTTTTGTGCAGCTCTTAGGCTCGGGGGAAGTCACAATGCATGCAAAGTGTACATGTAGCCCCACCTGTACTATCTCTGCGGGTGCAGTGTTTTTAAATAGTGGCACCAAGTGACAACAGTTTGGCTAAGTCAGCACTCTACAGATTAAAGAGTTTTGTTCACTGGCATCAGCTAGAGCAGGAGCTGGCAGACACCCTTGGGGTGGGCACCTCCCTGGGGAGATCAGCCACTTGTTCCTTAACATGATGCAGCACTGCGTGCAGTTACCTTTTAAGCCCACAACTGAGGGCAATAACAAAATGAGATTCACCCGCCACCACAGCATTTATAGGAACCAGTTGATGAGCTCACAAGAGCTGCTCCACACCTACCAGGCCCAGCCAGCCAATAGCCTGGGGGTGAGGATGAGCATGGAGGGAGAATCCTAGTTGGGGAGACTTGTCTCACCCCCATCCACTTTGCACAGCAGCTGGGGCCTGAGTCTCCAGCAGAACATGCCTGTCATCATGTGACAACCTCCAGTGGCTCCTCCCCCTGCCCTGACAGTACGGTCTGACCTTGGTCTCTAAGCCCCAGCTCATCTCTCACCAAGTCTAGTCTCTGCTTCCTCAAACACTTAGAACTGCACCATCATGAATGCCACTGGTGACCCATCCTCCTGGAGGGTCAACAAGACAGCAAGAGCACCAGGCAGAGGAGGAAGGACTAAGCGAAGGCAGCAGGTACCTCCAACACAAAAGGTGCTTGGTACCCAGCATTGAGAAGGCTCAAAACAGCTGCACTTCAGGCCACAGGGAGGGGGACAATGATGTCAGGGTCTCCTAGCAAAGCCAAAGGCCATGGTGAGGTGAATCACAGCTGTGTGATTACTTTTAAATTCTAGCTGGTGTTTTTTCTTATCTGTGAGACCATTTCATTCCATGGACATAAGGGGACACTTTGTGATCAAGCTTCCATAACATACCACACACATACACATTCATGCACACACACATACAGATGTGCACATACACATACATTCATACATGCATATGTGCATGCACTTCCACATACCACATGTCCATCCATGTACACATGCATACACATGTGTTCTCTCTCTCTCTCTCTCTCTCTCTCTCTCTCTCACACACACACACACACACACACACACAAACACACAGTGCGGCCTCAGGAGCAGAGCATGTAAAGGAACACTGTTGTTCAAATGTACCACTGTCACCTTGCATCTGCAGTCTACTTTTGTGTATCTTTTTCAGGTAGCAGTTTCATTTGCCACCAAGCAGAGACACATCTGAAGGAATCACCAAACCCCGAAGCTTAAATACAGAACGAAGCTAGAGAAACCTATGCCATGAGTACCCATGCATGCTAGTCTGCAAGGCATAAGTCAAGAGGGCACCAGGTGGGTACCACTAGCCACCAGCCCACTCAGTCATGCTCTGAAGGATCCCGAGAGGGGGCATCTTTCAGCAGCGGATCTTGCCACCCTCCTCTCTGAGAAAGAAGGTTCGTGGACCTCCCCTGGCCTCTCTTCCCATCTTCCTCCCATCTTGCATCACCCGGACCACTATCTTGCATCAGCACACTTCCCTGACATACTGTGCACACATCCTCTTTCCCATCCATCTTAGTGTTGCCAGAGAGAATGTTCTAGAACACCCACCTGGTCCCGTTGTGTAAGTGCCCACTCACCCCTCTAGCATCAGCCCACTTTCCCCAACACATTGTGTGCCAGCACTTAGGAGGTATCTCCCATGTGTCAGTTGCATTTAGGGTAAAGCTGTGCACTGTGCTGAGAGAACACAAAAATGCGTACCAGACACTTGGTATGCACTCGTGTCACACTTGTATCCCTTGTGAGGTCTCAGTGAAGCTCTGGACCTTACTCCACATCAGGAGCTCATCACTGCCAGAGACAGAATTTGGTAGGGAGCATTCCGAAACTCCATGCACCAGGCAGCAAGATCCCAGGGGAGTTTTGGCTTCTCTGTGCTGTGTCCTTCCTGTGATCCCAGTCATCCTGCCAAAGCACACTCTGCTTACACATGACCCAATCTGTCCAGGTTTGCAAACATATTTCATGCAGGATGGAAGTTTTACAGAACATTTGGTCCCTGTCCTCACAAATCTGCAATGGAGAGGAAGCCAGTGGATCACAGCCGGTGGAGGGGCGGGGTGGGGGGGGAACCAAAGGTAGTCAGTTTTCATACTCTGCTAATGTTAAAGACATTCCAGAAAATATCTGGTCTTCTGAGCCACCTGGACAGCTAGGTGGTAAGTCTAAGTAATTTTAAATAAACCAGTGATTTCCTGGCACTCTATAATTCTCCCCTGTTACTAAAGAAGATCAAACAGAAGCTGCCCAAGAAAAAAAAAATTGAGCAAGTGCCTGCATAGGACAGTAATACATGAGAATAAGGAGGAAGCTGCTAGAAGCGGGGCCTGGTTTCAGTTCCCGAGTAAGGCTGAAGCGTACATGGGGAAGCATGTTTAGCATGCTGCACAATGTAACCGAAGTCAGACCTGGACTCCTATGTGGGAGAAAAAGAGACAACGGGTGGCAGGCAATGACAGACTTACATCTTGGGCCTAGTTCAGAGAGGAGGATGAGTGCTGGGCACAGCACTCATCACAAAGTTCAAGAAAATACTTCCTGAGATCCTAAAGGTGGCTTGGGTGACTTAAGAGAGCATAGAAGAAGCTGTGTGCAATAAAGCATCCAGAAAAGATATGAGTGTGACTAGCTTGGGCTGTGGTGTGAGGGCACAGAGAATGCAGGAAAAGACAGGTAGAGCAGGTATCTGCAGCAGCAGGCCACACATGGCTGATGGGGCTCATGGATGAGTGTACATGAGTGTACTTTCCTAGCCAAGGAATGGTTAGTACAGGGTCAATAGGCCTCCAAGTGCCAGAGCTGCACAACTGCAAAGGAAAAGGAGGAATTTGGACTTCTCTGGTTAGTGGGACTTGGGGATGAAACAGAGCTTGTGAAGTGAGGGAAGGTAGAGAAGGAAGAGGAGAGAACAGAAGATGCCAGGTTTCTGTGTCCTTGCTGACAAAGAGTGGTGGTAAGTGGTCCTGGTAGCTGCTCATTAAACCCTCAGAGCATCCATGGATGAGGGCTCCATGTGTCTTCTTCCTACTTAGAGGAGATCACAGGTGGGGAACAAGGCCAAATTAAGACCAGAAACACTAATTGGTGGTGCCTGACTTGTAGCCAGAGCTCAGCCACTGGGCACAGGAAGCAGGTCCAGGCTTGGCTGATTGGCCTGACTATGCATCATGTTCTGTTTTATCAAACCCTGTTATTGTTACTATGAAAGAATGTGACAGGGCAGGGGAAACTATGCCCCCTTTTCAGAAGGGTTCCAGCTTTAGAAGCCTGTTTTGCTACCAGTCTAAGCAAGCTTCTACTTGTTCCTCGCAGGCCTTCCCACTACTTCCGCATGTATGGGAATTAGAGAAGGTACTGTTCCACCCACAATACTTCAGAGTGTTTTCGAAGAGTAAGAGGCAAATGCAGTGGGAGACAGTATACTTTCTACCCCTTCTTTGGCGGAAGGGAGATATTAAAAATTTGGAACTTTAACCCAGCAAACGGCATTGAGGTTGCCACGTGGGAGGAACCTACTGGAACATGACCCTGGCAGAGGAAGAAGACCATGATTATGTTAACGCTACCATGCACACAGTTTTACAACACTTTTCTTCACTGGGAGAAAAAGATGCACTCTTAGGAAAAGAAGAAAAACAAAAGGATACCTGTGGTCTCATCCGTGGATTCCATCGTACGTAATAGTTTACCCATAATTCCAAATGACTCAGACTAGCAACAGGATATAAAACGTGGTTCTCATAATTCACAAAGAAGGGATTCAAAAATTCGTCTAGCTGGCTATTGATATATGACCATAAAGATACAGTCTTTGTATATATATCCTGCAAAGCAAAACAGGAATACATTGAAGTAAACTTTTCTTCAAAGCCTCAAGAATCAATATGGCATAAAAAGGACTTGAATAATATAATGAATGCAAAGACAAAAGTGCATGAAATTTACTAAGCCCCGTCTCCCATCCTCCACTCTGCATGATTTCATGCTGTCCTGAGAAAATATATTGCTGAAGTTTGGCAGCATCTGGCAAATCTGTCTGTGGGGTAGGAGAAGAGTTTTTTTTTAACACTCATTAAGATGATAGGGTGCAGCGATAACAATTGGATACTTTACCTAATGAGGAATGTGGGTGGAAATTACAGATAAGATCCCTTACAAACTAGGTATGGGATGTGAGTTCAAGGCCAGACCAGGCAAAGTGAGACCCTATCTTGAAAACAAAATTGAAACAAAAGGGCTGGACATGTGGCTCAAGTGATAGAGCATTTCCTTAGCAAGCACAAAATTCTGGGTTCAATCCTCAATACTGAAAAAAAATCCCTCATAATGGAAAGCTTTGTCTATTGGCAGAAAAGTACACCATGATGGCAGGCTGTAGAGGTTTCACATACATTCACATACACATATATTTCATTATATCTTCCCATCAGTTTTACTGTACATATTTGGAAATGCTATAATTATTTGTATTGCTCCTCAGAATGAAAACATTTCAAATCTATGAGCATGGGAGAGCACAGTTAGGGCAGACAAATAGGAAACAATGGATGTAACCAGGAAAAGTGAAGAAACAGTGAGGTCAAGTGAATGTTGCATCATTCCATTACTACAGGACTGCTTATTTACAAGCTGACTTCCCACAGGAACATTCAAGATTAACTATTTCCTTTTTTATTTTATTTTTTTATTAGTCATGGAGCTTGAACTCAGCACCTGGGCACTGTCCCTGAGCTTTTCTCTTCAAGACTAGCACTCTACCACTTTGAGCCACAGCACTACTTGTGGTTTTCTGGTAGTTAAATGGAGATAGTCTCACAGATTTTCCTGCCCCAGCTAGCTTTGAGCCATGATCCTCAGATCCCAGACTTCTGAGTAGCTAGGATTACAGGCATGAGCACTAAGCACCTGACTTTTTTCATTTTTATATTTATAAGGGAAAAACGACTGATAATTCAAAATACCCAGAATAGCCAAGATACTCTTTAAAAATGAACAACAAAGAAGGAAGACTCACAGTTCCCATTTTCAAACTTACTGCTGTTCTGTAAAAATACCAGTGGGGCTGCCATAAAGACAGATACATAGATCAATGGTAAAGTGTACAGAAAGCAGCAATTCTTATATTTACAGCTAACTGGTTTTCCACTTGGATGGCAAGATAATTCAAGGGGGTAAACACACTCTTTCAATAAGCAGTGCTGGGGCAACTAGGTGGGCAAAACAAAAGAATGAACCTCAGCCCTCACCTCACACCATATACAAATAGTAACTCAAAATGGATTACAGACCTAAATGTAAGAGCTGAAACTAAGACACTCTTAGAAGAAAACAGGACCAAATCTTTATGGCTCTGGCTTGGGTTAATTAATAGATTCTTGACTGTGATACCAAATGGGACAAGCAACAAATGAAAACAGTGATTTTGAATCCATCAAAATGAAAAAAAAACAACAACAAACTTCTGTGCTTCAAAGGATACCACCAAGACAGTGAGTAGACAAGTAATAGAAAGAAAAGTAAACTTTGCAAATAATATAAAGCACTTGTATATAAAATGTGTAAGGAATTCTTACAACTCAACAATAAAAAAGCCAACCCAATTTAAAAGTGAGCAAAGGAATAGAATACAGTTTCTTCACAGAATATACACAAACAGCTACTAAGCACATGAAAAGATACTACTCAACATTAATTGCTATAAAAATATAAATCGACACATCATATAATTCACTAAGATAATGAAAAAAATGGTTTCACTGCTTTGAAAAAAATACACAGCTTCAAAAGAGTTACGACATGAACCAGCAATTCCATTTCCAGACAAAATGATAGCCTATGTCCACACAAATATTGGTTCACAAATATTTGTAGCTGCACTACTTATAAGAACCAAATGGTGAAACCAATTCATATTTCTATCAAGTGATGAACGGACGGACAAAATGTGATCTATCCACATAATGAATACAATCAGCCATAAAAAGGAATGAAGTAGTGACACAGATTAACCCTGGAAACACTACTGTAAGTGAAGGAAGTCAGGCACCAAAGTCTATCTACTGGAGGATTCCATTTGTATAAAATCTCCAGAATAGGCAATCCATAGAGACAGGAAAAGGATTAGTGCTTGCCAGGGGCTGAGGAAATGGGCAGGGATTGCTAATTGGTGAGAGGTTTCTTTGTTGGGGGGGTAATATGATTTTATAAAATTAGATATTGGTGATGGTTGCACATTCTATAAGTATACTAAAACCACTGAATTATACACTTAGAACAGTGAATTTTATGACATATAAACTATATCTCAAGAGCTTTTTTTGGTGCTGGTGCTGGGGCTTGAATTCAGGGCCACGTTGCTGCCCTGAGCTTTTCTATTCAAGGCTAGCATTCTACCACATGAGCCACAGCTCCACTTTTGGCTTTGCTGGTGATTAGTTGGAAATAAGAGCCTCATGGCATTTTGCCCACCCTGGCTGCCAACCACAATCCTCAGATCTCAGCCTCCTGAGAAGGTAGGATTACAGGCTGGCTCAAGAGCTTTTTTTGTTTTAAGAAGAATAAAATTTCCCCCTCCTACCAAAAAGTAAGTAGAGTCATAGTTTATTGAGCTTCATTCTGCTGCTGAGATTGTTTTAAATGCCTTTATTGAGGTAAAATTCATATATCATAAAATTTACTCTTTAATTATTTTCTTGAGTTATATTTAACAGGATTTCCTTACACTGGGCTGCAAGACGTGAATTTTGTCCTACTCCTTAGACACATAGGTTAATTGGGTCCCAGCTACTATAAAGTAAGAGACTTTACTATACATATGGTTTGGGGTTGCTAGAAACTTGGGGAGGGCATCCTCATTATAGACAGCAGCAAGACTTCAAGTGGCCCTTGCTGGGAAAGGAGCCTGAGCAATGTAGGAAGCATGACACTTACTTCTTTGAACCGCTGTTGTTCACAGTTGCACAGAAAGGTCCCAAAGAGACAGCTGTAAAGGTGATCCAAAATTGTAATCAAGAATAGTTCATTAAACTCGAACGCTGAAGGAAACTTAAATGGAGAAAAAAATAACGTTTAGTCTAATTTTAATATTAATACCACTTATTTGTGAAAGGTAAAATATAAATTGGCACATTCTCATATCAAAAGGAAGACTAAGCTTATGTAAAGCAACAACCTAAAGTTTCAAGTCCAACTGATAGATCTGGTTGAAAAATAACCAAAAGCAACAATCTTTCTTGTGCAATTAAATGCTTACTTTTTTTTTTTTTGCCAGTCTTTGGGCTTGAACTCAGGGCCTGGCCACTGTCCCTAAGGTCTTTTTGCTCAAGGCTAGCACTCTACCACTTGAGCCACAGTGCCACCCATCTAGCTTTTTCTGTGTATGTGGTACTGAGGAATGGAACCCAGGGCTTCATGCAGGCTAGGCAAGCACTCACCACTGAGCCACCTTTCCAGCCCCTAAATACTTAAAATTTTATGCAGTGTCTATTTTTCACTGGGTAAAACAGAACATAGGAACATTCAGAAAGCTGGATATAGTATATAAAACAAATGTTTTCAGCTTTTGGCAACAGAGGACTGGGACTCCAAGAGAAGGGAAGTAAATGAGAGGATCACTATTATTATCTTAGCTGGTTCATTTGAAAATCATTAATTCACTGTGGTAACAGAGTAAGGAAGAAAACCCACAGGATCATCTCAATTGTTTTAAGTAGTTCATAGTGGGTTTCTGCAGAACTCCAATGAAGATTGTTAGCATTGTCATCAGGTTTTAGCCAGAAGCTACCACTTAGTAGCCAGGAGATGGGAAATAATAATAAGGAACCCAATAGCAGACATAGAGCAACTGCCAGGAGCCAGAATCCTAATTTTAAGCACAGTGACATATTGATTACCCATTGAAAGAAGCAAAAACCAGTAGAAGAAAACCAAATAGAACTGTCTAGCACATATGTGTTTAAATTAGTATATATTAACGACCTATTCTCAGGCTGGAAATACATGCCTACCTCAGGAGGGTAAGGCCAACTTGGACCTCTAACACCACAAAAACAACAACAACCAAAAGAACTGCTTTTCCAGTCACAGTGATTTTCCATACTATCATGACGAAACCTAATAATCAGGTGTGGGGATCATGACATGGTACATAGTATGGAGATTCCTGGATTTCTCAGCTTGACTCCCGTTTTCTAGCCATTCAGCCATGCCCCATTTCTAATATATGCCCAAATATAAGAATAAGGACTCAGCAGTTAAGGAGACTAAGCAAGTTCCTTTCATCTGACAAACATGGAGCAGAAGCATAACTAACTGACTGAGGAGTAGAGTCTTACATTGTTCAGCATATGGACAAGATGGTTAACAATCGCCATTTGCAGAAGGAAAGTAACTTTTGGTGTGAAATTGGTCCTATCTGATTTTCTATTTATACTTTTAAGTGAATTAGAATCAAACTATATTAAGTAACAGAAGTCATATTTTACACACATACAAATACTCATTTTGAATGGAACAACAGTGAAAGTTTAGCTAATTTTGGCTGCAAGATACATTTGAGCCCAAGATTACCTAAGTCAGAAATACACTTGAAATCTCTCACCTGCCTTGTCATTTGCCAAACACAATCAATAAACTGAAGAAATATAGGGGATCGGTCAGCATCTGCGTGGTTGTCATCACCATGGCCCACTCGCTGAAAAGACACAAATGTTAAATATCTTCATGTATGTTACTATATGACCAAAAGGCAGTTCAGCCACTCAGACGGCTGAGATCTGAGAAGCACAGTTGGAAGCCAGCCTAGGCAGGAAAATCCATGACATTTTTGTTGTTGTTGTTTTTGGTGCCAGTTCTGGGGCTTGAACTCAGGGCCTGGGCACTGTCCCTGAGCTTCTTTGGCTCAAGGCTAGCCATCTAGTGCCACTTAAGCCACAATGCCACTTCTGGCCTTTTCGGAGTAGCTTACTGGAAATAAGAATCTCATAGACTTTCCTGCTCACACTGGTTTCACACTGTGATTCCCAGATCTCAGCCTCCCAAGTAGGTAGGATTACAGGCAAGAGCCACTAGTGCCCAGCTGAGATTCTTATCTCTAACCATCAAAAAGTTGGAGGTCGAGCTGTGTTTGAACAGTAATAGAGTGCTAGCCTTGTATAAAATCTCAAAGACAATGCCTAGGCCCTGCCCTCAAGCTCCAGGACCAGTACAAAGAAAAGTCACTTAAGTTGCCTAGTAGCAAGGGTTGGGTCTCACCAGGCATAACAGAATTCCTGGCACATTGTAAGCACCCACAAACATCCACGAAATTGAATTGACTTCCATTTCTTTCTTTTTTTTTTAATTTTATTTTATTTGTGAAGATACTGTACAGAGGGGTTACAATTACATGGGCAGGATAATGCGTACATTTCTTACCAAGCATTGCAGCCTCCTCCTTTTGTTTACCCTTCACATCCCTTCCCAGCCTCCCCCCTCCCCCCCAATCCCAATCTTTCTCCTTCCCCCCCTTCCCCCCCCTGCACCAACATTGTAAAGCTCGTTTTGAACATGACAACTTGTACTTCTCATTGTTGCAACAGGTCCACCTGTATCTTTAAACAACTGGTTTTCCCCATCTCCTCCTCAAGTTATACTGACATCAAATATAGTGAAAGCAGGGGTTATACTGTGGGGGAGGGACATACAAAGCAACAAAGAAATAATCTTATAAGTGCATTAGAAACATATGCATGAAAGAAAAAAACATTAAGATACATATCTAAGGGTTCATTTTCCTGACATCACATTATCTGACCTTTTCCGCTTGACTCATAGATATACTAGATATTGCAAATAAGGGAAACCATGGGACCTATGTTTCTTTGGTCCTGGCTTACTTCACTTACTATAATTTTTTCCAAGTTTTTCCAGTTCCTAACAAATGGGGCAATGTCATTCTTTCTGATGGAGGCATAGAATTCCATTGTGTATATATACCACATTTTCTTGATCCATTCATCCATCCATTCATCTACTGGACTTCCATTTCTTTCATGCAACTAAATTTCAGTTTATAGATATGGTGATTGGTTTTCAACTTCTCTTTAATATAGTTGATTGACTTCCATTTCTTCCATGAAACTAAATTTCAGTTTATAGGTATGGTGATTGGTTTTCAACTTCTCTTTAATGTAGCTGACATCAAGAAATGATAAGCAACTATATAGCTACCATATCCATTTAAAGGGGATCAAGACCACCACCACCACAACTGCCTAGAACTGATGTGGGTATTACTAATGGCTCAACAAGCATGTTGTAAATCCAAGATCCGGTCTCAACCAATAAAAGCTGAGAGTTAGTGCTATGGGCCTATCATTCCAGTTAAGTGGAAAGTGTAAATATGATGACTTGAGGTCCAGCCCATCTCAGGCATAAAGGCAATAAATACAAGACCTCATTTAAAAAATAACTAAAGCAAAAGGAGCTGAAGATGTGTCTCAAGTGGTGGAGTATCTAGCAAGCACAAGGTCAGCCAGAGTTCAAACCCTAGTGCTGGCCAGAAAAGAAACAAACAAAAGAAAACAGGAATTACCAGCAAGAGAAACTACATAAACAATACAAATTCATGGTGAATGAAGAATATCCTTTTTTTTTTCAGACAAGGTCTCAATACGTACCATAGACTATCTTGGGACTCATTATTGTAGCACAGGCTGGCCTCAAACTCATGACATTCATGCCTCAGCCTCCAGAAGGCTGGGATTACAGACATGTGCCATCACACTCGGCTAAACAGTGTATGTATTTTCATGTGATTAGTAGGTCAATGAAGAAAAAGAAAACATAATTTACCAGAACATTTGGGATACAACAAAGGTGGCTCTAAAAGGGATATTTCTACCTATAAGTACATATGTTAAAAAGTCAGAGAGATCTCAAATAAATAAACCCTAAGGCTATATGTAGCAAAACAAGAACTAGGCAAACCCCAAAAACAGTAGATGGAAAGCAACAATAGAGATCAGGGCAAAATTAATTAAATCAGCAGCTTTTCAGTTTACCACCACTAAGTAGTCAGAAACAGAACTGGGGAATCTATCACATTCACAATCACATCAAAAATACTTAGGAATACACTGAGGATATGAAAGATCTCTACAATGAAAACTCTAAAACACTGAAGAAGGAAACTGAAGAAGGCATGAGTAAATAGCTATACTATTTAAAGCAACCTACAAATTCAGTGTAATGCCTATCAAAATCCTAATATCATTCTTTACAGAAACAGAAAAATTAATCCAATAATTCATCTGTAAGCATAAAAAAATACCCAATAGACAGCTGGGCACCGGTGGCTCATGCCTGTAATCTTAGCTACTCAGGAGGCTGAGATTTAAGGATCACGGTTAAAAGCCAGCCCGGGCAGGAAAGTCCGTGAGACTCTTATCTCCAATTAATCACCAAAAAGCTGGAAGTGGAGCTACGTCTCAAGTGACAGAGCACTATCCTTGAGCAGGATTGGTACACACACACACACACAAATTGCCAGCTAGAGCACTATCCTTGAGCAGGACTGGCGCGCACACACACACACACACACACACACACACACACACACACACACACACACACACACACACACACACACACACACTGCCAGCTATGGGCAGGTAGCTTAGACCTGTAGTCCTAGTGGCTCAAGGAGCTCAGATCTGAGGATTATGGTTTGAAGCCTACCAGGCAGAAAAGTCCATGAGATTCTTATCTCCAATAAACTACTTACCTACAAAAAAAAAATCTAAAAGTGGAGCTGTTGCTCAAGTGATAGAGTGCTAGCCTTGAGCAAAAGAAGCTCAAGGACAGTACCCAAACCTAGAGTTCAAGCCTTAGGACCAGCACCAAAAGCAAAAAACATACAAAACAAAACTAAACTAAACAACAAAAAAACCCCAAAATCCAAACAGCCAAAGTAATCTTGAGCCAAAAGAGTATTGCTGGAAGTATTACAATACCTGACTTCAAATTACACTATAGAACTATAGTCACAAAAACAGCACGATACTAGCACAGTACTGGCATATAGACCAACAGAAAAGAATGAAAGGTCTGGAAATAAACCCATACCATTATAGCCTTCTGATCTTCGACAAAGAAGACAGAGAAATAACAGTCTCTTTGACAAATGGTGTTGGGAAAGTGCCTATCCACATGCATAACAGATGGTAAACGTGTGAAAATGTAACAGTGCAATCCTCTCCCCTGTGTAACTAATATAAGGTAATAAAATATAATCACAGAGCTAACACTGACCTGGCACTCAACAGGGGACAGGCACTGCACTAAGCACTGGAGACATCCAAACTCCTTCCCCATGCTGCATGCATTTCCAAAGGGTGTAGAAAACAAGTCAAGAGAAAGGAAGGACTGTATCTAAAGAACTGACGAGTCAGCTGGGTGCCAGAGGCTCATGCCTGCAATCCTAACTACTCAGGAAGCTGAGATTTGATGATTGTGGTTTGAAGCCAGCAGGGGCAGGAAAGTCTGTGAGACACTGATCTCCAATCAGCTCCTCAGAAAATGAAAGCTGGAAGTGACACTGTGGCTCAAGTGGTAGAGTGCTAGCCTTGAGCAAAAGCAGCTCAGGGACAGCACCCAGGCCATGAGTTCAAGTTCTAGGTCATCCAAAATAAAAGAACTGGGCCTGAAAATCAGAGGTTATGGACTTGCCTCTTCTGCTCTGGACTTCTGTCCAAGTACACTTGCCCCCATGCCAAAGCCACTGTAGTCCTTGCACTGCCCATCCTGCAGACTTCGGTAGTATTCCAAGTCAATGCAAGGTAAAGATGAAGCCTCAGCTGGTCAATAGATAGCACAGGCTACAGTGAGCTTCCAATTGCACTAAGATGCAAACCGCAGCCTACGAGTGCCCCACCAGATGACCCAATAATTCCACTCCTACCTATATAGTCCTCAAATTAAAACAGGTCTTTGTGTGCTGAATAAAGTGACCCCTCCATCTCTCAGGACCTCAGAGTGTGACTGCACTTTAAAAAACATGAAATTAAAATGAGGCCATTAGAGAAGGGTCCTAACCCAATATGATGGGTAGCTTTAGGAAATATCAGTGGCACATGTCAAGGAGAAACCAATCCTGTTGTTAGCAACTTGTATTGGACTTACAGTCTCTCTAACTGTGTATCTACTGTGTAATCCAGCTAGTTAATACAGTAGTACTTTTTTTGAAAAAAACTTGTACATCTACGTTCATAGCCTAAGATAGAATCAAGGGAGGGTACATATACATATGAACAGATAAATACAATCTAGCATATGTACACAAGGGAATACTATTTAGCTATAAACGGAATGACCATTTGATATATGCTACTGTATAAACATTATGTCAGTAAATGGAAGACAAATACCATATGATTCTACATATATTAAGTATGGAAAATAGGCAAATCTATATAGATAAAAATCAGATTAGTGCTTGTTGGGGGCTAAAAAGGGAGGAGGAAATGGAAAGTGACTGTTTAATGTGTATACCATTTCCATATAAAGGAACGAATATATTTTGGGACTAGACAGATGGTTGCCACGCTGTCAATGTACTATAGGGTACTGAACTGAACACTTTAGAATAGTTAAATCTATGTGATGTAAACTTACCTCATTTTTAGAAAAAGCATAACTACGTTTTTAAAAGCTCTACTAGGAACATATAATGTTGTGATCCATTGTATTCTGTCATGGCAATTAGGGTGGAAGTTAGGGTAGCATCCAGGGGAGAAAGTCCACACATCTGTGTGTGTATACACATATGCTTGTGTGTGTGTGTGTGTGTGTGTGTGCTGCATCCGACAAGCATATATAAGACACAGCAAATAGTTAAGCACTGTCTCAACTTACCAGTGCAAACCGATGTCCAAAGCTTATCCACTCCTTCTCCACGAGAGCTTCAAATCCTTTAATGGTCCGGTAGTAACTGTCCAGCATCAGCATCGCCAGGGAGGTGAGCTGGGCTGTTCGGTCCCAGCCGTCACTACAGTGCACCACCACAGAAGTTTTCCCAGATTCTATTTTATCAGCAATTCTTACTGCTCCTGCAAGAAGCATCTGCAGAAAAGAAGGCATATTAGAAAAGGGATACTCTGAATTCAATTTCTATATAAAGCAATTCTGGAAAGAACTTTGAAAAGTCTGGCTAGTAAACCACAAAAGCATGGCATGCATGGGCTGGACATGTAGCTCAATGGCAGAGCCCTTGCTTAGCATGCCCAAGGCTTTGGGTTCCAGTCCTAGCCTTAAAAAAATATATATAGCCAGGTGCTGTTGGCTCACGCCTATAAGCCTAGCTACTCAGGAGGCTGAGATCTGAGGATCACAGTTCAAAGTCAGCCTGGGCTGGAAAGTCTGTGAGACACCTACCTCAAACTAACCCCAGGAAACAGGAAGTAAAGCTGTGGCTCAAAGTGGTAGAGTGCTAGCCTTGAGCAAAAAGGGCTCATGGACAGTGCCCAGGCCCTAAGTTCAAGCCCTACCAAAGGAAAAAAAATATATATATATATATATAATGCTATACAATCAATTGATTCCACTAGGAAATGTTAGTGTCATTTTGGGAATGGTTCTGTGGACTGAAGTCATTTCCTTGTGCCTGCAAGGCAGGTCCTCTCCACTTGGCTAGTCTATGTATCCAGCCCCTTTTTTCATAGGTTATTAGTTATTGATATTGGTTATAAACGACTGCTTTCTGTCCTGGCCTGCCTAGATTGCCATCCTTTCCCATGTCACTGGAGATGACAGGTATGTACCATGGTACCCAGCCACTGCTTAAGATGAAGTCTCTAAGACTTTTCTGCTTGTACTATCCTTGAATCACAATCTGTAGACCCCTACCTCCCATGCAGCTAGATTATAAACTTGAGTCACCACACCCTAGTAACATGATTTCAGGAATAATTTAGTATTTTGGGGGTGGGGGTTTGTTTTGGTTTGGCCGTACTGAGATTTGAAGTCAAGGCCTTTGTTTGCTAGACTGGCCCACAACCACTTGAGCTATGTCTCTAGCCCTAAACTTAATTTTCTTTTTTCCTAGTACTGGAGTTTGAACTCAGAGCCTTGCATTTGCTAGGCTCTACCATTGGAGCCATGCCTCTAACCTTCTTCGCATAACTTTTAAAGCCATGAAAAATTGTAGCAGTTAACAGAATCCTTTATCAAAGGGTCATGAAGTTCTTTTAAAAGTCTCACAAGAGCTGAGAGCTGGTGGTTCATGCCTGTAATCCTAGCTACTCAGGAAGCTGAGATCTTAGGATCCCAGTTCAAAGCCAGCCTGGGCAGGAAAGTCTGTGAGACTCTTATCTCCAATAAATCACCAGAAAACTGGAAGTGGTAGAGCGCTTGCCTTGAGCTGAAGAGCTGAGGGATAATGCCCAGGCTCAGAGTTCAAGCCCCATGACCAACAAAAAAAGGAACTCTCACAAGAGCCAAGGATTACCCTTTTCATGATGCTTGTGATATTCTCCACAGAAACCACAGTCCAAATGCCATCTGTGAAATCTATAAAAGCTCACCTCCACAGAACATATGCCCTCTTTTGTGATGTTGAGAAACCATTTGGACATAGATATACTTATGGCAAGATAGAAATCTAAATGAAAATCCAGATGAAAAAACTGAAAATCTTTACCCTAATATATTCTAGCCAGTGAGTTCCATCCACATTGGAGAACCACCGTGCCTCATCGATGGAAGGGTACACAATCTCTTTTAATTTACGGAGCGATTCTCTCATCACATGAATATTGTGGATCTCCAAGAACACGAGCTCTGCATTTGGGTAAGCACTTTCACTTTCATAGCCTCCACCCTTTGCCTGTGAAAAACAAAAGATAGTCATCACCTTATCTGGAATGAACTGGTCTACTGTTTCTAGTGCTACCAGGAAGACCACTAAGCAGCAACAAAGTCATCTGTTACTAAACCAACTAGAATCTTGTATGGATGTCCTAGAGCTGCTGGAACAAAGGACCACAAACTGGAACAAAGGACCACAAACTGGGTAGCTTAAAACAGGAGAAATGTACTGCCTTAGTTCTGAAGCTAGGATTACAGGCATAAGCCATGGTGTCCAGAGGAAGGTGTCATCTGGATGGACTCAGGTTCCTCTTATTTTCGATCAGCTGCCTTGTAATTATTGAAGGCCTGCCAGGCTACTGCAACAAGCTCTCTGGACATCTGCATGTCAGTCCCCTGCAGCAGGGATGGGTGCCCAGGTGACAGAACAGCAGTCTTAGACAGGGCTATGGAGGTGTCTAATGGCAGAATAGGCTCCCAGTGTCCAAAGTCTGCCTATCTCCCTGGAAGCACCCCCCCCCAAGCTATTCCTCTTTAGAGTTTATAGGATGCAGCCTTCCTTCCTCCCCTCTTCATTCCACAGGCCGGAGGCCAGCAATCCAGTTCTGTGGATGTAAGTGTATACAAGATCTCCATAGTCCCTGCTGTCAAGAGTCAAGGGCTAAGTATCTAGATACCCCATGGGCAAGGAATTACAAGTGTGTTGAGGGTCACTAAAAGGGAAGTGCAGAACACTATTGCATAAGAAGAGCTGTAATTACAAGGCCACTGTGGTAGTTCAGACAAGAGGTGACAAGTCTTCTTCTCCAAAACAAAGGAGAAGAGGAATAAATTTTTCCCAAATCATTTCATAAGACCAGTAGTATCTTGATGCCCAAACTAGACAAAAATAGCCCCCCCCAAAACTACAGACTAATATTCTTTATGAATATCAATGTAAACATCCTGACTAAAACACTAGCAAACCAAATCCAGCAGCATGTTAAGATTATACCCAATGACCAAGTGAGATTTATCTTTAAAATGTAAAGAGGCTGTATTACTTTCCCAGAGCTACACTAATGAAGTACCACAGACCAGAAGGCTTCAAAGCACTCAGATGAATTCTTTCACAGTTCAGGAGCCTTGAAATCCAAGATGAAGATGTGAACAGAGTGGGCTCCTTCTGGAGGCACTGAGGGAGACCCTATGTGTTCCAGGCCTCTCTCTTTGTGGCAGGTGTTGCTGGCAATCCTTGGACCTCCTTGGCCTTTAACACCAGCACTCAAGCTGTTTCTGCTTCCACAGAGCCACCTTCCCTCTTAGCATATGTGTATTTCTATGTCGTTTTCTTTAGGAATATCAATCATTGAATTTAGGGCCTACTCTATTCCAGTATGGCCTCCTCTAAACTGATTATAGCTACAAAGATCCTGTTTAAAAATAAATTCACATTCTGAGGTTCCAAGGTAGACACAATTCTTGCATGACAAATCATTGCCAATGGTGAAATCTGAAAGCTCTCTCCCTAAGATTAGGAATCATAGATGTCTGCTTTCACCTCTATGAGTCAACACTATGCTAGAGGAATAGGGAATCAGACAAGAAGCTATGAAAGGCATCTAGATAAAAGAAAGAAGTCAAAATGTCTGTTTGTGCATGCCATCATTATATATACATATGCAAAGTTGCTGGGGACTTGGACATATAAACAGGTTGGTGTGTTTTCTAGATGGCAATATTTAGAAGTCATTTTCTACATGCAATTTGGTATCCTACTTCTGTCTGTTCTGTATAGGAAACAAGTACAATACTCTGACCTTACACTATTAGATGTTTAGAAGATGGTGTATGTGTCAGTCTTCCTCCATCCCTGAATCCTTCCTGTCACTCAGGAATGCTGAGGTGACTGGGGAAAGGTGGGAAAGGCAGGAAGCACACTCTCTTCGAATTCTTAGAGCACAGCCCTGCCAGATTTGGGACTTCTGGACTTCAGAATTGTGAAAGAATGTGTTCCTGTTGTTGTAAGCCACCAAGATTGTTCTGATTCACATTGCAGCCCCAGGAAACCAGACCCTTTCTCATCTTCTCCCTGCTCTGTTTCTCTTCCAGTCTTCTCCATCATAGTAAGCCATATCCCACAGCTCACCTTCCAGTCACACAAGTGGGTAGTCTCCTTGACCACAAGGGATAAGTTTATCAATATCACATAGTGAGGACTAAAGATGCACCTATTACCACACGGAGTCCTTTATGTGCACTAGTCTCATGTAATTTTAACCCATGTACAATCCTTGACATGAGACACTGGTATTATCTTCCATTGTGCAGAAGAGAAACCTGAGGCTTAGAGAGAGGTTAAGAACTCTATAGAGCAGTGAATGGCAGAACCTGGAGGAACACTCAAAGCCAATAGGTCTCACCATTCTGCTACACTGTGTCACAGGTGGGCTTGAGTTCAGAGCCTTTGTGTCCTGGGAGAGAGCCAAGTAGAGACATGAAACATAATGAGATGCAAATTCAGTCTCAACCTCAGGAGCTATCAGGGTACAAGAGACTTGTGTCAAATTCAAGTCCAACTCAGGAAGGGACAGTGTTTAAAGTCCTGACATAGGAGAATTAGTAAAGAGGACACCCAAACTAAGCCTAAGGAACACTACTACTTGCTGGTGACAAGGACTAGTGAGGCAGACCAAGAAGGCCAGGCTGGAGAGCAAGAGGAACCTAGGGAATTAAGGTTAAAAAAGGCGAGAGAAAAGAGAAGTTCCTGGGGTCAGTAATGAGGGAAGCTAACTTGAATGGAATGCCTTCTTGGGTAAAGCACTTTGCTGGATCTTTAGTAGCTTTTCTTCATTTAAGCTTTTCATCTACTCCAAGAAGTAGGCTATAGTGTCATTCTCACGCTAGAAACAAGGCAATCACTATTGAGAGAGAAGAAGTAACTGCCTAGCATACATCAGCAAATAACCAAGCTCCTTCTACACCCTCTCAAGAGAACATTTTATTTTCCATAACGCCATAGTGGATAGCCACATGGCAGTTTATACAGCTATGTGCTCAATATGTCTGTGTCCTAATAAGCCAGATGGTTGGCTACATTTATTCCCAGTGCCTAGTATAGTGCTTGCTACATTAGGTAGGTACTCAAGTACTGAGGGGAGATGGCTGTGTACTTGTCTAATGGCTTCTTTATTCTTTGAAGTAGAAAGTGACAGCTTATACAAAGTATAAGATGGGGGAGGTGGGAGGCTGGATTTTTGTTGTAGACTGTGCTTAGTAATCATTAAGGAAAGAAAAGAAACAGGCTGGTTAGAGGAACAGGAACTCACAAGCACTACCAAGGGTGAAAATGGCAGGGTGATGACCATGGGCATAGACATCTGTCTTCTTGCCATCCTTGTTGAGTGGTACATCTCATCACACTGTTGGGTAGGTATTCAGGCTGCCTATAATGCTCTGCCCCACTCTACCCACTGACCTGAAGAACCAGGCTAGTTCAAGTCCACTTTCCTCTTGTTAGGCCACAGCTAAGCCCACAGAAAGGCTAGTCATTCCCTTCCTGTCCAGCTCTCCCAGGACACTGAGATTACTTACACCTCCTATTTATAACACCTCATCTTGTCTATTTCACTCACCATCTTGTTCCCAGTCAGGGCTTAGTGGATGTGTGCTACCCAAGTGTCATTTTATAAGTAGGCATGAGATGTGAGGAGCTACCATCAACTTTCTAATGTCGGAAATTATTTGTGGGCAAAGTTCTCAGCCAAATACCTGCCTGTAGCAACAAACTATGGAAAAGCTATCTATGAGAAACAGAAATGACTCAAACCAGAGCCTTTCCTATTTGAGGTAATAGTTTTCACTAGGTATAAAACATTGAGCTCCCTTCAGCTAGTGGGGTTCCAACAGAAGCCATCTTGAAAGGTGGTCTTATGTCACCTGATGACACTATTGTTTCTTCATGTGATTTATGGAAACTTCATGTATTTGCAGTTTCATATGGCCAAGCCCACTGCAAAGAGCTGCATAACAGATACGAATTAGTCAAATCATCATTCTGTTTCTTACAGTGAGGGACCTCAAGGTCCTTTTGCTCATTTCACGAAAATATCTGATCACTTAGATAGTTTTTCCCCTGTATCTTTACTTAAGGAATTCATCAGACAGGACTGTGAAGAAGCAATGAAAGAGACAAGATGTGAGTCATGTGAAATGCCAAACACAGCCCAGGGAAGGACAAGACCACTTCAAAAACTTGAACTTCCACTTGGGAGAAATTCAGTGGGCAGTTCCAAATGCAGGACAATTTATAGAACAGATAAAAAAAACAGTCAAATGCACAAAGGTATTAATAATGTACCTTGTTGGTATCTGCAACACTGTTCTGGCGAGCATCAAAGATGATCAGTTTGTGGGACTGGGCATTTGCATCCATTATTGTTTGCAGGTATTTTTCATCCTCCTTGCAACGTTTATCATTGGGACCCACCAGCGGTTGGCTGCAACGAGTAATCGTTGCTTGACTTTCTGGATGAATCCATGACAGCACCTAGTATTTTTAAGCAATACATATTAGTTATCTGTTATTAAATAGTATTCCTAAAGCAACACATGTTCAAATTACCTGATAGGAAAAACACAGTCTGTCCTGAAGTTTTTCCACAAAGACAAGAGTGGGCAAGCCAATCATATACTCTAGTGGTGGAAGGACTCAATGCTCAGTCAGGTTGAAACAAAGCTACCTGGACAAGCTCTAAAATTCTACTCTAGCTGGGCGCTAGTGGCTCACGCCTATAATCCTAGCTACTCAGGAGGCTGAGATCTGAGGATTGCGGTTCAAAGCCAGCCCGGGCAGGAGAGACCGTGAGACTCCTATCTCCAATAAACCACCAGAAAACTGGAAGTGGCGCTGTAGCTCAAGTGGTAGAGCGCTCGCTTTGAGCTGAAGAGCTGAGGGACAGCGCCCAGGCCCAGAGTTCAAGCCCCACGACTGACAATAAATAAATAAATAAATAAATAAAAATAAAATTCTACTCTACCTCTAAAAATCCTAAAGCAAAAAAAAAAACAAAAACAAAAACAAAAAACCTAAGTCTAATTATTAGTAAAGTCTAACCTAACCTTCCATTTTCCTTCAGTGGTTCAAGTAATAAGGATCATGCCAGATGTAAACTCTGGGCCTAAACTACTACTTCCTGCTAGCTATAATTGTTTCTGTAATAATGTCCCTCCCTCCTGAGTGGCTATAGCATTCTATCAGCATGAAGAATGAACCATTCTATAGTGATTTGATGAAACCTTTGATATAGACTGTTAATACAAAAGCAAGATCTTTCTTGCTGCTCTTTCATTATTCTCTACTACATTTTGAGAGCAAAATTTGTTACCCTTGCATTTAGAAGGAAATCAGACAAAAAGGGAGACACAGCAAAAAGAAGGTTTATATAATGAGGTATTTTGCAAGGATCAAAGGTATGCTTGGGTTTATTTTTCTCCTTTCCATACTGTGTGCTAGATTTTTTTCTGTCTTGTATGTTTCCAAGCTAGATCTACCACAGTATGTTTCTGTCAAAATGATAACATTTAGTACTTACAGGAACTCTGCCTTTTGCTCGAAAGGCTGCCACTTTTGAAAGGTCATCATCTTTTACACTAGTTGGCACAACAATGACAGCAGGGTAGGTATCACAGAACTCATAATTACTGTTTATTTTGGAGATTTTCCAGCTCTCATTTGGCAATCCCTGCAGGTTGTTAGAGGAGAAAAACACGAATTTTCACTTTGAAAAAGAATTAAGGGTGAAACACATCTATTTATTTCTAACAAAAAAGTCATTGATAACCTGTTCACTGTCACTTAAATAACAATGCCTCAGATAAAACGGACACCAGTGGGTTGGATCCTCACTCAGCCATTCTTTACCAGATCATTTCATAAAAAAATCTGGAAGATCTGGTCTACAAAGCTGGGTGGTTAAGCCTAGTTACCCTCCAGAAAAGGATAAACAACCAGGAAAAGCGTCAAAGGCGTTGGCCTAGGAAAACTGGGCACCCAGAAGTTGGAACACCTAAAAGCTAGGAAAGCTACAACTTGTTGAAAAATTTCTCCTCTCCATTTTATTTTTGAACTTTTAGAAAATAAAATATTTAAATTCTTCTTTTTAGTTGGATTGGCAACATACTCTACCTGTCTCTTATATTCAGATACTGGATCATAAACTTTCCAGCCATTAGTTGGAAACTTTTCTTTATAACTGAATGCAAACAGCACCTGAGAACAAAAACCACAAAACAGATGTCAGTATTTATTGCCATATAACAGATTCTAAGGCTTTTCAAATTCTTCAATGAGCTGAATAGATTAAGATTCTTAATTTAATCTGCAGTTTTTTTTTCCTTTTCCTTCCTTCCTTCCTTCCTTCCTTTTTTTTTGGTGCTAGTCCTGGGGCTTGAACTCAGGGCCTGGGCAAGTTTTTCCGATCAAGTGGCAAAGCACTTTGCCACTTGAGCCACAGCTTCACATCCAGCTTTTTTTATGGGGGTAGGGGGTGGGGGAAGGTTAATTAATTGGAGATAAGAGTCTCACAGGCTTTCCTGCCCAGGTTGGCTTCTAACTGAAATCCAGTCAACTTTCAGTCTCCCGAATAAACCAGGATTACAAGCATGAGCCACCGGTGCCTGGCTTAATCTGCAAATTTTGAAGTAATAAATTAGTAGCCTTTCTTAACAATTATATAGAACTAGCAACATTAAAATATTATAGTAGAAAGGCCAGAAAAATAGAGTTAAAGAAAAGCTGTGACCAAGGGGATAATTAAACAAAAGATCGTTGGAACTCTACAAATGCTTGCTGTAAAAGTTTAGTATGGTATACTTACTTGGCCATTAGAGAGAGGAAAAGCATGCTTGTTGAGGTTTTCAAATATCCCAAGTTTACGCTGCTCTTCCTGTTTATATGCAAGCCGCAAATTCCTCATATCCTAATAAAAAAGGAGCACAGTTGTCTACACAAAATGCATTCGGTACCTAAGAGGACCTACCATGCCATAACACATAGAATATCTCCATTCATGTCTCATTTTATACTCTATTGCTCTTTAACTATCTCCAATGAGATTAAAAATGTTAATTGGAGACTTGTAGAAAGGAACATATGCAGTGGGAAAGTCATCAGAATAAAGACTAAAGAACAATGTCTGTACATAAAGTTGTGCCATCGAGTCCTGTGCTCCTTCTTGCTAATGGTGGAGTTTGCTAATCTGGAGTTTGTTATGGACTTTCAGCTGCCCAAAGAGCCAATTATGGCATCCATTCTATCCATAAAACTGAAATACAGCAGATACTTCATCCTACACACTCACAGAAAGGACCCTGTACTACATAGAGACCATGGCCCTAGTAATATCCTTATAGCAATATAATGCTTCTTCTTTTTTTTTTTTTCAGTTGTGGAGCCTGAACCCTGGGTCTGGGTACTATCCTTGAGCTCTTCAGCTCAAGGCTAGCGCTCTACCACTTGAGCCACAGCACCACTTGCGGCCTTTTCTGCTTATGTGGTACTGAGGAATTGAACCCAGGGCCTTCTGCATGCGAGGCAAGCACTCTATCACTGAGCCACCTTCCCAGCCCAATATAATGCTGCTTTAAGATCACAATTTCTTACAGTATCCCCAGTGCAAGCTTATGGCCAAAGTTCCAAGAACAAGTCAGCGGGAACAATCCCAGAAAGGTCAACTCTAATGGAGTCATTTCTTCCCACAAACAATGTTTTAAGCATTGCTTCTCAATCTTTAAAAACCTATATCCTTAGCAGTTAAACACAAATAATCTCATTCTACTTTAACATTGAATGAATTTGGAAAGAAAATATGGCCACAAATTGAAGCAATAACAAACTGGGAAGTTATTAGGATATTATAACAGTAAAAGAATGGTAATAACCCAAATGTCAGTCAATGGGGGTCAGCTAAATTAACTACAGTACTGCTGAAGGAATACTAAAGAGTTATTACACACAAAAAAAGCAGGGCTGGTGATATAGCTTGGTGGTAAAAAACTTGCCTAGCATGCACAAGCCCTGAGTTTAATCCACAGTACTGAAAAACAAAGAAACAAAAGACAAAACACAAGAAGTAGCTTTATACATACTTGTATAAAGAAATTTCAAGGTAGTTTAAAAGGAGAAAAAGAAAAGAGTAGAACAGTGTACATAAGACACTACCATTACATGTTCAAATAAAGACTAGGCATGCATGCTTCCATGCACAGGGTATCCATAAAGGGGTGCATAAGGAATTGGGAATGCTGGGAACCTGCAGGGAGCGAAACATGGTGGCTTGGTGATCCAGGGAAGCAAACTTACTTTTCCTTCAACTCGTCTTTTGCATTTTTGAATTATGTATCACCTGTTAAAGAAATAAACCCCATACCTTGCAAGATTCTTAAACATGAGCTGAGAGGGTTGGAGGCTGGCCTTAGTAATCCTAGCTAGAAAACATTTAACTCAGCAGTTAGCAAATGCCCATCCCAGTCATAAAAATAGCCATGGGACACTTGCCAGGACACATAATTGCCTGCCATGCCCTACACTGGTCATACATACACCTTAGCTATTCAGTACTGCTCAGAGACAAAAGCATTGCAAGCCATGGAAAAGCATGTGCAAAGATCTTGGAGTGGGGCTGGGGAGGTAGCTCAGTGGTAGAGCACTTGCTTAGCATGTGTGAAGACATACCCTCAAAACATACATGATCTTGATATGAGACAAGTATGAGTACCTAAAGGAAAGCCAATAGGACTAGGAGGCAAGGGTGAGGGGGGGAGAGCAGCTCAAGCTGAAGCTACAGAGGAAAGTGAGTCAGGTTGACTCAAGCACACAAGAGCTTGACTGGAAGCTACTTAAGAGTTGTAAGAAGGGGCTGCAAGTATAGCTTAGTGCTGGGGCACTTGCCTAGCATGTCTGAGCCCCTGGGTTCCATCTCCAGCACCACAAAAAAAGAGTGATGAGAACTCAAAATCATAAAACTGACTACATCACCCTCTACTTTTAAGTCCTTTGGTGGCTTGTCACTTTTCTGCATGTGGACTCCTGTCTGGGAAGGACAGCTGCCATGTAACACAGAAAGTGAGTCTGCTAAACATGTGCTTTCATGATCTGTTAAAGCTAGAATTACTTTATAAACATATAAGTAAATACATAGGGTGGTATGCAAGTATATGCAAATGTATTAGCTGATATATGGTAGATTCAAGGGAGAACTCAAATAATCTAATTCCTTAGAAAGGCAAAGTCAACAAAGTACACACACCAAGAAATCAGTACTTGAACAAAGTGGGGTGAGGTCAAAGGAAGCAGGATAGATAAGAGAAGAAGGGTAGAAGATTGAATCAAGAATTCAATGTATAAGTTAGAGGAGTAGCTCATTTGGTAGAGCGCTAGCCAGTGAGTAAAAGTGTCAGGTACCAAGTTTAAGTCCCCGTCTTGAACTGAAAAAAAAATTAATGTATATCCTACAAAATTAAGAAAAGCGAGGGAAGGTATGGGTTGAGAGGAAGGAGTAAGAATGTTGAAAGGGGTAACACTAATCAAGATGCATTGTATTCAGAAACTGCATTGTTAAATGGCAACCCCATTGTACAACTACTTTAAAATTATAAAATACTTTTTTAAAAAAGAGTAACAAGCTCTTTGAAAAATTGCATTTAGCTGCAGTCTATGGCCTACCAGGGAGAGCTGTACTCAGAGATTTGATCCAAGTAAAGACATAAATAAAATTCCAAACCCAAAATTGAAGGAGCCCTGATAGGCAGGACCTCTTTCTGGTACTTAGGAAAGCTCTTATTAAACCAAATTACATGAGGCAAAGTCACTGGGAATAAAACATAAACATTAATGGTGTTTCCTAAGTGACTATTCACTATTTAAAATAACATACACTTTTCAGCTTACTTCATTGGAGGAAGGATTAAAAAATACAAAAACAAAAAATAAGCACAGCTCAAGGAGAAAATTCCAACATAGACAAAAAATTTTAATCTGAGATAAAATATAGAACATTGCTGTACTTTTAGTAAGTCTTTGACAACATACCATTCTAAATAGCAGTATAGAACACCAAAGTGGGTAAAGGATTAATCTCTGCTTTTCACTAGTATCTCTCAAATGTAAAAAGTAATACCTAGCACTCAGGTTATGTCAGGGATGTTAATTAGAAATACTGATGATTTCCATGGGTTAGATGACAGTTTGAATTCATTTATATGAGATTTGAGATTACTGCCCTGAAAACATTTGAATTATTAACAGTGCAACTCTTAACTATCCAAAGACCATGAAAGATAAGTCAGGGGAAGTTCTACACTGACTGTGTTCTTTCAGTTTTCCCTGCAGTGTGTAGTCTACCTTGCACACGATCTCTATACCGCAAGAATTGTCTCCATGGCTCTGTGCTCCAATCTTCTCAACTCTGCTGATCACTCCAAGAGGAACATCGAGGACGAAATGAGGGTCCTAGGTTTAAAAATTAAGATGAATGTAATTGAAGTCATACTGCAGTGGCTTCACATTTTAGGTCTTGGTATTTGCAGAGTTTCAAAGCATGTCCTCTTTGCATTTCTTCTTTGCCCAGCTAAGAAACTGAAGTCTGATTTATAGCATACTTGATGAATTATATGTTGAAACTATACTGGAACTTCCCCTCCAGATTCATGTGGTATTTTAACTAACTTTTGGTCAAAATATGAAATCTTTCTGCAAATACGACTCTCTAGGTTATTTTCAGAATGACAGGATTTCAGGGGACTGTTGACTTCTTTCTTTTACTATTCAAAAACTTTTTATAACACTTTTTTTTTTGCCAGTCTTGGGGCTTGAACTCAGGGCCTAAGCACTGTCCCTAAGCTTCTTTTTGCTCAAGGCTAGCACTCTACCACTTAAGCCACAGTACTACTTCTGGCTTTTTTTGTGTATGTCGTACTGAGGAATCAAACCCAGGGCTTCATGCATGCTAGGAAAGTACTATACCACTAAGCCATATTCCCAGACCTTACAACACATTTTAAAAAACTCACCCTCTCTACATTCTTAAAGTACATCTTAAAGTCCGTCACTGTCAGGGTTCCACTTACTGCTCCCATAAATGGGCAGATATACATGACATCTTTCACTGAAAGAAAAAAAAGTAACAATTAATGTCATAGACATGTGCTTCAATGACTTAGCATAACTTTCCAAATATATGTGCATGGGATTCCAGTTTTCTAGGACTTTTAAACTTTATAATTAATTATTACTTTAGATAGAGACACTGATGTAGAGTCCTCTAATAAAATTCAATTGTCTAAAACAAAACTCTGATTTGACAAGCAGGTTTTAAGTAAAAAGTTATGAGTAAGTTACATTTTGTAATTTTTTTCCAGGTAGTTAACATTTTTCCTGGGTGATAAATCTGTCATATGCAAAACAGTAAAGACATTACACAATAATTTAATAAATAACTGATACTTTACACAAATGAAAACTAAATACTGTACCCTAATTTACCTCCAAGAAAATCTTTTCTTTGGGTGGGGGTGAGGGTCGCTTGTGGGGCTTGAACTCAGGGCCTGGGCACTGTCCCTGAGCTTTTTTGCTCAAGGCTAGTGCTTTGCCAGTTTAGGCCACACTGCCACTTCTGGTTTCTTGGTTGTGAGAGAAGCCTTTTTACAGATGACAAAAAGTAGAACATTATTGAAGTATAAAAAGATTTGTTTCATGGCTAGTGGATGTAGCTCAGTGGTACAGCACCTGACTAGCATACATGTGGCCCTGTTGATCCTCAGCATTGGGGAAAAAAGGACTTATTTCAAGTTCTCATCAATATTGACTTTTTCTTAGCAATCAAGTCTATAACACAATAATTTCCTTTTTAATTTTCTTTTTTAATTTATTTTTTTGTGAACATACTGTACAAAGGGGTTACAATTACATGGGCAAGATAATGAGTACATTTCTTATCAAGCATTGTAGCCTCCTCCTTTGTTTCCCCTTCCCATCCCTTCCCATCCT